TTACAAACCATGTTGCCTTTAATACCATCATAACATGGAAGAGGCTGCATATACACTTCTTCTTGTAACTCTCTGTGAAGGAAAGCATTTTTCACATCCATTTGATAAAGAGTCCACCCACAATTGATTGCAACTGAGAGTAGAACCCTTAATGAATTCATCTTGGCTACAGGTGCAAATGTTTCTTTGAAATCTACCTCAAAGGTTTGGGTGAAACCTCGAGCAATAAGCCTCGCCTTGTGTCTTTCGATGGAACCATCAGCCTTGAATTTAATCTTGTAAATCCAAAGACTTCCAACAACCTTGTTTTCCTGGTGGTTGTTGAATCAAGCTCCAAGTTTTATTTTCTTTTAGAGCATGAAGCTCGTCTGTTATGGCTTAATTCCATTGTGGGAGGAGATATGCCTTTTGAAAGCTCCTAGGTTCACTATATTTATCAATTTCATAGAGAATGCAGCATGAGATTTTGAGAACTCAGCAAGGTTGATACTTTCACTAATAGGATACTGTGAGGTATAAGTACCATAGTCATGTAGCCTAGTTGGAGGTTTTCTGATTCGAGGAGGATTTCTTCTAAGCCCTTGAGACTCTGTAGGAGATTGTGAATGATCAAAATGAGACTCATCGTCTCTCTCATTGGCAGGGATATGGCTATCAGTATGAGTAAAATAATGGCAATCTTCTTCAAACTTCACATCCCTTGACACAACACACTTCTTAGTGGCTGGATTGTAGCACTTGTACCCCTTTTGGGTGGAAGAATACCCCATAAACACACGTCGCCCTGGCATCTAATTTGTCACGGTTCAAGGCTTGAATGTGAACAAAGCAAACACATCCGAATACCTTAAGGTGTGTCAAATCAAATTCTTTACCCTTGAGTACTTCATAGGGAGATTTAAACTCTAGCACATGACTTGGGAGTCGGTTGATGAGGTAAGTGGCAGTGAGGATAGCAAATGACCAAAATTTCTTGGGAACATGCATGTGAAGAATGAGGGCACGAGTCTTCTCCAAGAGATCTCTATTTTTTCTCTCGACTACTCTATTTTGTTGAGGAGTCCTACACAGCTAGTTTGATGTATTATGCCCTGCGAACTTATGTATTGAAGCATGTTGTTAGATAGAAATTCAGTGCCATTATCTGATCTTAACACCTTAATGTCTGATTGAAATTGTGTTTTAACATGCATATGAAAATCTTTGAAAATAGTTTAGACTTCACTCTTTGATTTCATAAGATACACAAAACTCATTCGAGAGAAGTCATCAACAAATAAGACAAAGTACTTAAACCCTTCTATTGATTCAGTTGCTAGTCCCTATACATCGGTGTGCACCATTTCAAAAAGTTTAGTTGTCCTAGACATTGAGTTACCAAAAGGTAGTCTAGTAAACTTAGAAAAATGACAAGTATCACAAGTAAAATGAGATTTACAAAAAATTGGCAACAGTTTAGACAAGATAACTTCAGAGGGGTGAGCTAATCTCTTATGCCAAAGTTGGTTTTCATCTATGGACTTTGATTGAGCTTGAAGGACCTGAGTAAAACATGCGTTCTTGCACAGGTAGTAAAGTTCATTTATGAAGACCCCTTCACCATTCATCTTCATGGTGAGAACATCCTGAAACATCACATTGTATAGTGAGAAAATGGCACGGTAATTTAGGGTGTTTATGATCTTTCCAATTGACAAAAGTTGGAAATGAAAGGTTGATACATATAAGGCAGTGGAAGGTGTTTTGTGTGAGAGTAAGTTTATTTCCCCTTTTCCCAAAACTAAGATATTTTTTCCATTTGCAATAGACACATGTGAGGGACTTGAAAAACGTTTAAAATGATGCAAATTTGTGACATTGTTATATGATCTGTGGATCCTGAATCAATTATCCAACAATCATTTTCAATACTAGTTAATAAAGTAGTAGTGAATGCCTTAAGTATACCTGGTGCTTCATCCCTTGGAACTTTCTCATTTCCAGCAAAAAAGTTAGCAAATTGTCCCAACATGGCTGCATGGCTGTTCTCTTCATTTTCTTGGGCTTGTGAACCTCGTCCATGTCCCTTACTTTGAAGATAAGCTGCAAACTCATTGATAAGTGACAATGGATTGGCAGTGAACTCCATGGATCCTTGTGAGGCAATAGAGGGATAAACACTAGCAAGTTGGGCCTTGTAATGAGGTTGAAATTGCAGTGAGGACCTTGGTATCATTTTTCCATCTTTGCTGAACTTAGGCTTGAGTTCAGGATGAAGTTCCCAACACTTATCTTCCACATGGCCAACGCCATTGCAATATTTGCATTTCAAGTGTGTATTTCTACCTTTGTACACCTTAACCTCTGAGGTCTTGTAATTTGAGGCATATGCACGAGTCTCAGTCAATCTTGAGTTGTGCTCAGTATTCATCATTTTCTTCCTTGCTTCTTCTCGTTGGATAGTTGCACAGACATTGTTGAAAGTGGGTAGATCTTGACTCATCAAGATATGACTCCTTAGATCCTTGTACTTAGAGTTGAAACTCCCTAACAGCTAGTAGATTCTATCTCGGCTCGTTTAGGAGAATGGTAGGATCTGTGCTATATGGAAGATATACATCCAACTCATTCCATATGGCCTTGAGGCTTCTAAGGTGTTTAACAAATGTTTTCCCTTCTTGTTGAGCACTAGCAATGTTCTTCTTAAGTTGAAAGACACATGTATAGTTGTTTTGATTTCCATACATGTCCTGCAAGGTTTTCCAAAGCTCACATGAAGAATTGTAGTAGCTAAAAATCTCAGCAACATGTTTCTCCATAGTGTTAAGCAGCAAAGACATGACAAGTTGATCCTTGCAAAGCCATGCACCGTATACAGAGGAGGAGTTGTCTAGAGCTTCAACGCTTCCATTTACAAACCTAATTTCCCTTTGCCTCCGAGAGCTAGAGAAACAGCTCGAGACCAATGGAGATAATTAAACTCATTCAAGAGAACTAAACAAAAACGTTGATTAGTGTTAACCTCAACGTCTGAGAAATTTAGGGGAGAGACTATGCTGAGTTTCCTCATCATGGTTCACTAAACTTTCTTCAGCCATGGCTCAAATTTTTGAACGAAACAAATGCAGTAGCAAGAATTGGCAGAAACAGGTCACAAAGGAACTTGCTCTGATACCATGTAGAGTTTCTAGTTTTAAGTTTCAATGTATATTTCATATGTATGATGTACAAGAGTGAGATGGGTATATAAGAGAAGAGAGAGGGAAAAAAGATGGAAAGAATGGCTGCTGCAAGCAGCCAACAAGAATGAAGAAGGCATGTTGCCTACCTAACCTAAACCTTACACAAAGACATTACCCCAACTAGTCTCCTCCCTTAAATCACGGGAAAGTTGATTTACAATAATACATTTAGCCTTACCCTTACCCTAGAGATTTACCCTAGGGTTCACCCTTGGTAGCAGACTCTAAAGGCTAGGAAAGAACACATTTCAACATTTTCACTTTCATTTTTTTTGTCTTGATGACTGAGAAATCAGACTATGAAGTTGATTAAGTGCAAAGTGGCAACCAAGACATGGTTTTTCTACTTATGCTTTGCACCTTGCGCGTAAGTTCTGTTCATGTTCCTATCAAATATTATATAGGATGATTTTTTTTTTTTTTAATATTTTCAATCCGCAAATCATGTCATTAAAATAAATTATACTTTTTTATATCAGTATAATTTATTTTTTTAATATTTTCAATCCCACAAATCATGTTCCTCAATTGTAGCCATTTTTATACAAGTATAATTTCTTTTTTAATATTTTCAATCCCACAAATTATGAATTTTATTTAAAATCTCATTAATAAAATAACTACAAATATCAAAATTTAATTTAAAATTATAATAACCTACATAAAAATGCATTATTGCATTCATTTCAGGGACTTTAATAAAAAAACTGAAAATGTTTTAGTCAAAGAACATTGATAAATTGGAACTGCATCCAAAGTCATCCAAAATTAATTAACATGTTTATTATTATTTAAAACAACAAAACATGTGTTAAAATATCATTGGACCAAAATAAAAAGGTGAATAAGTAGGGTATGAGTACCTAAATTATTCTATTATATTTGTGCAGTGGCGAAGCCATGTAAAGGCTACCCGTGGCCAGGGGTGGATAGAAATAGGGACAAGGTGACCACCCGAGTCTGGAAAATATACATGTGAAGTCTTTAAAGATCATTTGAATGTTTGGTACAGGTTCATTTTGGCCTAATAAATGTTGAGAGTTCTCATCTTTGGGAGGCTGAAAGAGAGAAAATGGAGGAGCCTCCGTGGCTGCTTTTGCTTTGATGGGTTGAAAGCTAACGCCTTTTTCTATGTCTTTTGTGGGGAAATAGCTTCTGGGTCTTGGGGAGCATCCATTGTTGGAACCTCTAAACTGCTTCTTCACATATACATCAAAATTAATAACATAGAAAATTTTGAAAAATAAGAGAGAGAGAGAGAGAGAGAGAGAGAAAGAGAGATGAGGATATGTGGATTGGAGATGAGACAGTGGGAAGGGTGATGGACAGGAAGAGAAGAGGCCATCGGAGAGACGAGATAGCATCAAAAAGGGAACTGGAAGGGGAATGGGTTTCAGGGTTTTTTTTTTTTTTTTTTTTTTTCTAATTTAAGAGTACATTATTATATTTTAAATTCATAAAAAAAAAATACCACGTGCCACAAATTTGATTGTTACGTCAGCACAAATGTGACAGTCACGTCAATTTTTAACGGATCAATAGATGAAAAATGTAACGGATGTATTATATTGAAATAAAATAGTATTTGAGTTATGAAAGTGAAATATTTTAAAAATATTATATGAGATTGCAATAGATCTCAAACCTGAAATAGTAAAATGTAATTTACCCATCATTTAATGAATAAATTTTAGTGTACGAAGGCTCTTAAATTGTTAAGTTGATGCCTTTATTATACCATACAAGCAAACAAAAAAAAAATCTATATTATTTTTTATTTGAAGGCGACAAAAGAAAGTTAAAATATAGCAGGAATGGTGAGTTGAAGAAGGATTAGACCAAAACAGTTGACCAGAGAAGTTTGAGAGATGGAGGAAGCAAGGGGAGGAGAGTTAAAGAATGTTCTGATGGCAAAGTTCAAAGAAGGAACTTCAGAGAGCCAGATCGAGCAGCTCATCGAATCCTTTGCCAACCTGGTCAACCTCGTTGAGCCCATGAAATCCTTCCACTGGTACACAATACCTCCTCCTCCCTAATCTCTTTCTTGATTCTTTTCCACAGAAATAGATCCTCTCCGAATCTTTCCTTCAAAGCTCGCGGATCAAGTGATCCGTACTCTTGAAATTTGATCTAATGGTTTTTGAAATCCGAGCCTATGAAAGTTATAATAATTTTTTACCGTTGGATTAAATTTCAAGAATCCGGATCATTTGATCTAGGCTTTTGAGGAAGAAAGTTGAAGAGGTTCTCTTTCCCTTTTACCCAATTATAAAGAGTGAAAGAATATGATTCTCATTGGTCTATTTACTACATGAAAAAAAAAATTTAAGTGGAGGTCTCTCATACCTTCACATATCTGAAAAAAAATTAAGGTACGTGATTATCAAGGAGGGATTGTTTATCTCATATCTAATCCTTCATATCTTCGCTCCTTCCAATACGTAACAATGTTACATTTTTTATTTATGTTTTTAAGACTATGTTGTGGACTTTTAACAACAAATGCGAAATTGTCATATCATTCGACAAACCAATATTGTGTAATACGTTAGTGTCTGATGTGATATATTTGCAGAGATTTTATAAATATTTTGAACTTTTTAACCGTTAGAATGTTTTAATCAGGGGAAAGGAGCTGAGCATTGAAAAGGCGGAGGAAGGTTACACTCATGTCTTTGAGACCACCTTTGAGAGTATGGAGGGTATGGCAGAGTATGCAGTTCATCCTGCCCACCATGATTTTGCGAAGCTGTTCCTTCCCAATTTGGAGAAAATGTGTTTCATCGCAGCACCAGATCAGCAAGTCATGACCCTCAAAAACCCTACCGAAATACAGGCTATGTTGATGAAGTTCCTTTCTAAATAGAAAGATTAATCAGAATATTTCTTGAATTTGGGCCTGCCCTTTACGTTACTAATAAAATGTAAAGTGATTGTAATGGTGTCACTGCATGCAATGAGGTACTAGTGACATTACTCATACGCTGAAGCTATTTACACTAGTTTGGTCTGTTTGATAATTATTTAGTTTTTAAATTTTTTATTTTTTATAATATATAAATTAATAGGTGAGAAAAAAATTGGTATCGAACATTTTATTTATGAGATTCAAATTTAAAACTTTTTATTTACCGTGATTATGTCTTTTTTTTTTTTTTTTACTTTTTTCGCTTGACATATAGAAAGGGAAATCAAGATCTTGAAATTAAAAATAACTTGAAATAACTTTTAGTTTTTCTTCTTGTGTACTGCTCCTTAATGATATATTATACATATACTAAAACTCAGTTTGGATGGCACTGTTTTTCACTGTTCGTGAACAGTGAAATGATGGAAATACCCTTTGTTTCTTCTCACTTCCAAGTTTTGATGTGTGCTTGGTACAGTAAAATTCCGATTTTGCCCATCTTCACCGCGCGTCACTCATCATTAACCCCCTGGTTTTGTTCCTTTTTCTCGATCATTCTTTTGTCTTCCGCTTCTTTCTTTGTTGGCCATGCGTGTTCTCTCTCAGATTTCTCGAGCTCTCTCTCTAAGGTTCAGTGAACCTTTCCATTTCCTTCCAGTGCAGATTTCTCCAATAGGAACCCACGAACGACAAACACAAATCCAATGTCTTCCTTCTCTCTTTAAAATTTCATCTCTCTCCAAAATTCCATTTCTCTCTCCTTCTTCAAACCACTTTATCTCTCCAGAAGTCCATCGCCACTACCTTTTCTCTAATGGTTGAATTTGGGTGTGCATAAACCCTTCGATCTGTTATTTGTAGGGTTTTGAAAAGGGTTAGCTGATTTGATTAGAGACAATTGAGAATCTGAGAAAAAATGAATCTTTTAAATTTTTACTCCTATCATTTTGATGTCTTTTTTTTTGTTGTATTTTAATTGCAGAGGATGAGCATGATATTGTTTGGTTTTGGCTAGAGAAAGGGAAGCCACATGAATGCCCAGGCTTGAACTTGATGTCATATAATTTTTTTTTTCCAGCTTCCGTAGTGTTTTGAAGGAACAAGAAGACACATAATAGAACCTGAATGAGAAGAAGAAAGAAGAAAGAAGAAAGCCAGCTTTTCAACCGATAAGCTAAAATCAATCCCCTCGATCTCCTCATCAGCGGCGGCGGTGACCACCAGGTTCACCTTTTTAATTTCATTTTAATTTTTGCTCTTTTTAGTCGATTTAAGAAATGAAGAATCTGAAAATGTTAAGCACTCCAAATGGTTGACCAAATTTAAACTGAAAATTGAGCCTATTTAAGAGAGTTAAGTAGTGAAGAATGCTTACTTTTGTTACCTAGAGGTGTTAATAAAGAATCTGACATAACATATAGTATTGACAAGAAGCCTATCACAACATCCCACAGTCTATCATAATCTATGTATACCATTTTTTACCTGATATTGTGTGTCCTGCAAAACTTATTTTGTTTTGCAGATTAATTCAAAATCATGCTATGGATATACGTGGGAAATTGCAAACAAGTTTCCATCTATCCCAGGTATCTTTTGTTCTCTCTGTTTTATGTGTTTTTTTACAATTAGTTTGTCTATCTGCTCTGGCTTTAAAGAAAGGATCCGAAATTTACACTACTCGGTAATCTATAAACATTGAAAACAATAGAAGGTTAGTTGTTGTATGCAAGTTTTTGAGAAAATGGTATTAAGAATCTAATAATCTGGGAGATGCAAGGTTTTGAAAAAATGGTATTGAGAATCTGATAATTTGGGAGTGAGTGATCATAAGACCAAAACAAATCAGAATTGTTATTTTTGACAGCACTTCTTTATTTCAACTTCAAGCCTTTCCTAGTTTAGAATATTTCTTGAGACCAGACTGTAGTTTTCGTTTTTAAAATATTGTCATTTGACTTGCAGAAAATATTTAGGGACCTAAGTTTATATGGTGCTCTCATCTCTGTGATGCAGAGCTGATCAAATTTTATGACTAATTAAACTATTTTTTACTTGCGAAGATGTTATTAACTTTCAATTGGCTTTTGCAGTACGTTTGGAACCAATCTGAATTTGATATCATTAAGCTAAAGATGACAATTAGTCCATTTCCATCTCAAAAAGCAGCAGATGACAATTAAACTACCATGCATCAAGTAACCTTCACACTCAGATTGCATTCAATGACTATCTAGACCAAAAGAACCTACAGTAGATCATTACTAACTTGGGTTAGATTAAAAAGAGTTTAGGTCTGGCGAGCTTCTACAGTTTAGGGAAGAATACCAAGATTTACGTTTTGTTTAACTCCCTGAATAAACATGTGCATTTTGTTAACAGTATTGAAAACTATTGTATAAAACATTTTACAGGGGGTTTTGTTGATTATAGAACTGTGAATTTTCGGCATTCAGAGAGTTTTGGAGGTTTTGCGATTTATGTTACCATGCATCGTATAAGGCTAATAAGTCACCATTACATCTCTTATCTAAGAGCCAATATTTAAGTTGGTGAGTAACTTATGGTACCATGCATCGTATAAGGCTAATAAGTCACCATTACATCTCTTATCTAAGAGCCAATATTTAAGTTGGTGAGTAAGCAATAAAATGAGTGTTGTGCAAGTTAATTAAGTTCTACATATTGATTTTAAGGCTAATTATGTGGTGTTACATATAAGTACAGACCAATTATATTCTTTTGAAGAATACATCAGTTTATATGGTAGCAGAATGATTGCGAACATTGAAAAATCTCAAGTAACTTAAATTATCATGCTAGATCATAAACTTTTCTAATCTTTGCTTACAAAGAGTTGATGACTAGGCAGTGATTTCTATTGAGCACCAGTTATTTGCACCTCTTTTCCCTCCTTCCATAATTGAAGAGCTTTTGACTCTATGTAGTAATGATTTACAAGATAAAATTGTCTAATTTTTGTCTTCCATTGTGTTTCCTTTTTCAAAAATTAAGATAGAAAGGGAATGCTATGATAATTTGAGGTTTTCGTTTTGATATTCATATGTGTACTTTAGCGGGTACAAAAAAAGAGATTTGTCAAATTATCACGTGAGCTACCACGTAACCATCTTTTTAATGATATTTTTGTCAAACCAACCACTTTTAGCCAAAATGGTCTCTAAGATTAAACATAGTTCATCATTTTGATCCCTAACAATGAAAATGAATAGAAGTGGTCTCTGAGTTTGTCCATCGTAAATCATTTCGTTCTTCTGTGAAAATTTTGTTAATATCCTCGTTAAATTGTCATGTGAAGAGGATATTGACATATTTTGTTAATAAAACTATTTAATTTTGTTTCTTCCGTTGAAAATTTTGTCACTACCCTTGTTACATTGAGGGTTTAATTTGACAAAAATACCTAAAAAAATGGTCACACAATCGCTCACCGGACAAATTTTTTATTAATTACGTTTACATTTAAATTGGCGGGACCATTGGTTATAGCATTCTGAATATGGCTGGAAGTGCTTTAAACCCTTGAAAAAACCACGAGCGAAACCCAATGAAAACTCTTTTGGTACCACCACCAACGACTCTCTCTGCACTTTTTGGTTTTCTCTTGGATGGCTACCACCAGGTCCGCCGCCGCCGCCGCCGCCGCCGCCGCCGCCGCTCTCGGCGCCTCCAGTTCAGGTTACCCATTATTTTTTTTTATATATTTCTCCAATTTATTTTCTTATTCGAGTTCCTTATTTTCTCTGTTTACGCTCGGCCAGGTCTGTTTGTTTCCCACCAAAAAAAACCCATTGAAGATCAAAGAAAATCAATGGGTTTTACGAGAGGTCGAAACAGGCTGACCCTGAAAAGTTCACCTTTTTTTCTTTGGGAATAATGAATTTATATCTGCTACAGAGACTTGGGAGTTTTTTCTTTGGTGTAGCATTCATGGATTTATGAGCTAAAGTTTCTTGCTTTTTTTTTTCTTTGAAAAGCTGAATAACCAGTTCATAGGATATTATTTTTCCTGGAATAATTTCGGCTTTTGGGGTGGGTTATCTACTGTAATGGGTTTTGATCAAACCACAAAGTTAGGGTGAAGTGTATGCAGTCTAAAATTTGGTGTTTTCAGTTTTTAATTACCTCAAATTAATTAGTATAGGTGGAGTAGTACGTTTAAGCATCGAATCTCGTCATCTCATTTGTTGTTATAGTTTTATTTACGGATATTTAGTTGTAAACCAAATTTGATGTTTGATCTCCAAAACGAGTTGGAGCTGATATCCTAATGTGTTCTCAAGTGTTACAGAATTTTTCGACGAAAGATAAAATCATTGGGAAATAGAACTCTTCATGTGATGACTTTGTTGGTAAATAGAACCTTTCATTGGATGACTTGGCTTCTGAGATGGAACAATGTCGCAACTTCTAATGGAATTGTTGATGTTGGGTTGTTTGAAATCCAGCATTTAGGTTTTATGCTATTTGAAGCGGACACTGCCACGACTAATCATACCACAACTTTTTCTTTCAATGGCTGCTTAGCTGCAGTTTGTTTTTCGCTTGTTCTTACTTATGATTAAGCAGTTGGGTTTTCTGTTCAGGTACTGCTGGTGAAAAGGATACTTTACCGGTCGAGTCTACCAATGGAGCTGCTCCTTTTCCAGGCTTAGAGACAAAACAGGAACAAACAGTTCAGTAATTCTTTGTACTCACAAACGCTGGTTTATCCAATTCCTGTTCTGCTGTTTGGTCACGTAAATTCATTGACCATAGGTCAAACTCCAAAGAAATCATCTAATGTGAGAATTTCCTCATTCTTCCTATCTGTGTTGGAATTATAAAATTGTAGTTGGCTAGAATTTAATCTTTTACGTCAATTTTTTTCTCAGAATTGGATGGGATATCTGGGCCTAGCACAAAAGAAGGCAGAGTCCCCTAAAGAAGATGCATTACAGAAGGGATCAAGTGTCTCGCCGAACAGCTCCAGTGACAATGGTGTGCAGGATAAATCTAATGACAAGGCCAGAAGGCTTGTTGCTGCTGCTCTTGTAGAAGTTAAGGATGCTGCAGTTGCAACATCTGGCAGACAGGAAAGTTGAGGTATGCACATTGTTTTATCACCTGTTTGTTGCTGTTCTGTCGGGACACCTGTCTCGCTAAAATTTGGTTTTCGTATGTGGAACTTAGTAGATGGACCTTTTGCTTTCACTAGTTTAATTTTCTTGAGAATCATTTTTCAAAAGATGTATACCTGGTTCTTAATTTCCTTCCCATTCCATTACCACAGATGTCAATATATGTATGTTGTCACACACCACTTTTACCACCTAACTAGTCTCTGTGATTGGCAGGAGTTTTCCTGTTTAACTTTAATCTCTTGGAGCTGGTTCTTTGACCAAAACTTGTAATTATTAGATTGGCGCGATCAATCATCGTCTGTATCTAATGCTGATTCAAAGGAAGTATCCGAAAAGGCGAAAGCTCCTGCATCTTCAGGTGTCGATGCTTTCCTCGAACAGATTAAGAAGAAGCCAAAGCTCAGTGTGCTTGACAAAACGAAAAAGGACTGGGGGGAGTTTAAAGAAGAGAAAGGGTTGGAGGAGGAGTTGGAATCTTACAAGAAGAGTTCAAACCAATATTTGGACAAGGTAAACTTCTTGCAGCGAGCAGATTGCCGAGAGTTTGAACGGGAGGGGGATGCACAGCTGGCCGTGCAGGCCAAAGGGAAGCCAGATATGCGGGAGGATCCATAACTGCAAAAGATTCAGGGTTGCGTCCGATTGACATGTTCAAATTTCCCAACTGGGAATTTTCGCGGGAGGATGGGCGGCTGCTGCAATTTTTACGGGGTATTGTGCATTTGCTTGAGGTTTTTTCAACATTTCCTGGATTTTCAAGGAGAGGAGAGAATGGCCGGTAATTGTAATCCGATTTTTCTGATGAGATTGTAAGTCTCGATTCTTAGATGAGGAACTTGAAGCGTCAGGTGATGGGAATAATGAGTGAGTTCAATTCTTTCACTTCATTTGTTGAAATAACATATGTCAAATAACGGTTCATCTTCTAAGTTCTAACTGGACTATTCATCATGTTGCTAGTTTCACTGAGTACTGCATTAGGCCAAAAATCAGGACAAAACACATACAAATCAGCTGCCAATTGCAAACAGGGGCGTAACCAAGTTGGCTAAGATAGCGGAGTTCCCTCTATGAACCTAAATTGCAAAAACAGGCATAACCAAGTTGGCTAAGAAAGCGGAGTTCCCTCTATGAACCTTAAGTTTTAATCTCCATCCGCGTAGTTTGAATCGAAACCTGACCTATCCCTGCCATATCGTTATCGGTTGTCGGGGTATTAAGACACGATAAAAGCAAGAGATCCGATGCCCTACTTAATCCATAGCATACAAGAAGACGTAAATACTAGGCAGTAAAACTGCACAAAATGGGTAACAATCCTTATGTTGTTATTCACAGTGAGATGCGAGAGCATAGAGAGTTATTCCCTTGACATCGCCATAGGGAAAGGTGAACAAAACACCAACCTTGTTTTCAAGCGCTTTTATCTGCCACCTTCGATGAAGGCTAAAACAACTAAATGGAAACTTCTTACCAAGTCGTTCCAAAATTCTTAAAAACAAAAATTGAAAACGAAGATTAATCAAGTAATGACTTTTCTAGATGTGAATGGGCTTGTCATATGTAGCCATGGCAGCTTCCTTCAACGCCTCGCTCATGGTTGGATGTGCATGGCAAACGCGTGCAATGTCCTCACTCGATGCATCATACTGCAAGGCTATGGCCGCCTCGTGAATGAGCTCTCCGGCATTGGATGCCATGATATGAACTCCCAATATCTTATCTGTTTCCTTCTCGGCCAATATCTTGACGAGTCCTTCAGCATTGTCTATTGCCTTGGCTCTGCTGTTTGCCATGAAAGGGAACTTTCCAACTCGGTATGCAACGCCAGAGGCCTTCACTTGTTCCTCAGTTTTTCCAACAGATGCAACCTCAGGGTGAGTGTAGACGACCCCAGGGACCTTGTCATAATCTACATGGCCAACCTTACCGGCTAAGAACTCCACGCATGCAACCCCATCCTCTTCTGCCTTATGGGCCAACATAGGTCCAGGAATAACATCTCCAATTGCGTAAACACCCGAGACATTTGTAGAAAACCTCTCATTCACTAAAATTCTCCCTCCCTTGTCCATTTCAACTCCTATCTTGTCTAAATCAAGCCCAGATGTGAATGGAACCCTACCAGCAGATACAAGAACAACATCAGCTTCAAAGGATGTCTGGTCGCCTCCGGATGCTGGTTCAAGAGTCAACTTCACACCATCTCCAGAGGTATCAACTCCAACCACCTTTGTTTTGAGCATGAACTTCATCCCTTGCTTCTCAAGGGAACGCTGAAACTGCTTGCGGATTTCCGAGTCCATTGTTGGGACAATATCAGGTCCAAACTCAACAACAGTTACCTCAGAACCAAGTCTGCCCCACACAGAGCCCATCTCTAGGCCGATATATCCTGCTCCAACCACCACAAGTTTCTTTGGGATTTCCTGCAAAGCCAGAGCTCCTGTGGATGATACTATCTTCTTCTCATCAATGGTAATTCCGGGTAAAGACTTGACATCAGAACCGGTGGCAATTATGATATTCTTTCCCTTCACAACTGTATTCTCACCATCAATGGCGTCCACTGAAATTTCGGACGGGGAGATGAACTTTCCATAACCTTTAACATAAGTGACCTTGTTCTTCTTGAACAACCCTTCAATTCCTCGAGTAAGATTGGAAACAGCTTTGTCTTTCTGGGACATCATGGCAGGCAAATCTATCTCGACATTGGAGAACTTCACTCCGTGATGCGAAAATGCATGCTTAGCTTCATGGAACATGTGAGAGGAATGAAGAAGCGCCTGGACACAAAAGTGAACGACATTAGAGATAAATTCCACACGCAGCCAATACCAATATCACTCGATGAATAAGAAACACTCCTAATTACACAAAAAACAACCCGAAAAGAGCATATGTAATTCATAAAACATTATAGAATTTTCAATTGCAAATGCTAATGGATTATATAGTAAATTACCAATCACAGATTCAAGGCCATGCCACTCAAGATTTTTCTTTTATATATACTTCTGAGGTATCCCATTAGGGCACAAGACGCAATAAATTTCCATAATTTGGCTGCAATTTTTTCAATTCCATCAAATTTTAATATTAACTAATTTGAATCGAAATGAATATTATCAAGCATAAATACAATCGATCAACAGAGATTCCATACATGAACACCATTGATTCAAACAATTAGATCTGAGCAGCAGTAAAATCAATCAAATATAACCAAGAACCAAACAAATCAAACAAAATTGATAAGAAAAACCCAGGAAAAAAAAAAAAAAACCCCAGTAGGCAAGTACAGGACTGTAGGAGTAAGCACCTTGGAGGGTATGCATCCGACGTTAAGGCAGGTACCGCCAAGAGCACCGCGCTTCTCGATGCAGGTGGTCTTAAGGCCGAGCTGCGCGGCCTTGATTGCCGCCACGTATCCGCCTGGACCGCCGCCGATGACGACGACGTCGTTCTCGTCAGATCCCGAGGAGGCGAAGCCCCTGGAGAAGGAGGTGAGGGAGGAGTACCTGACGGCCTCCGATGACATGTTGGACAAGTTTCTGGAGAGAAGGTAGGCCTTCCGCCGCGCCAAGCTCGCCATCGCCATTGCTCTCTGGAAATTCCGATTCGTTGTTAAACCTCTCGCTTTTCGTTTCTGCTGCGTTTGGTAAAGGGGCTTCAAATACGACCGCAGCCTAATGAAGCCCCTAATCCTATGACCTATTGGCTACTATGTGTTTTTGCCTTTTTTCACGATTATTTTCTGTTTTTATTAATTAAATATATTCTGTTTTGCAGATACAGTGTGCTAAGGTCCGGGATATATAATCCCCGGTCTTCCATAAATTAGTGGACACGTTGTAATATAGTTGTGATTTAGAAATGAGATGGGATTGTATCCGTCTGATCGTGATGGTTGTATATTGTGATTAATACGGCTGTTCCACGCTTTCACTTTTTGACTACTACTTTTTTTTTTCCCCATGTTTTATTAAATAAATTGGAAGAACAATCATGCGGTGGCAATTAAATCAATATAATTTACTAATTTATTTTCATTTGTGCTGACATTTTTTTTATTAAATAAAAAATTGAGGCAAAAAATACAAAATGGAGAAAATGGTAGAGCCTCACAGAGTCTTATAGCATATCACCAATTTGGATGTTTGGTGGAGGAACAATTGGCCCCAAAGATGATGACGTTATTTGTCTTGTGCCAACTAAAACAACATAGACGCTAAATTCCTCAGTAGCAGAGAGATTCTAACATACAATCGAGAACATTACTCATCTATTAGTATTTGTGTCCCGTAATGAGAGAGAGATACTAATAGGGATGAAGAGAAAGTTCGCTCGAAACAAATTCAATTATTTAAAATAATCAGAAAATTAAGATTAATGTAAATTAACCATTTTAGGGTTAATTCCGTTTTACCGCTACAATCCACAACCTCAACAGCACAATCAAGTTCTGTTCTAGCAAAACTGGCGGCTGCTTTGTTTCTAAACCTAAAATCTGAAACAGCCACAAAGAGATAAAAATTGCATCTCCCCTTAGGTCTCAGTAAATAGGAATTGACTACTATTTACATTCAATTGCCTTCTAACAAGCTTCTCAGCCGGCTGCGTGCTTCCTCCGAGAGGTTGCAGGTTCTCAACCTCGGGCGCTGGCGAGGGAACTCAACACGTTCTGGAGTAGAGAGGCGCACAATAATAACTGTGAGGTTGTCTGATGTGTTCAGGCGCAGTGCTTCCTTGACGAGCTCTTTGGCACACTGTTGGGGGTCATTGTGCCTCCTCAGCCCACGCCGAACCAGGCTGACAGCATATTGGCTTGACATGACATCCCAGATCCCATCACAACCAATGATAAAAAACTCATCACCTTCTGTTAACATAACCTGCTGAACATCTGGCTCGGCAATGAGAGGCGATGAGGAACCCAATGGTAATTTTAAGCCCCAATCTCCAAGAGCTCGGGTGACTGAGATAGATCCGTTAAGATATCCATCATCAATGTAACCACCCAACTGCTCAACTCGCATACGTTCCGGCAAGTAACTAGGTCTATGATCTTGAGACATGTCAACTGCTATTCCTTTCCTGCAAAGAACCGCTCGACAGTCACCAGCATTTGCAACCATTAAATGCCTTCCAAGTATAAGAGCAGTCAATGCTGTTGTTCCACACGAACTTCTCACACTTTGTTCATCAGCCAAGGCATGGTCTGCCAGTAGAAATGCTTTCCTGTGGGAATTCTCCAACTCTCTGAAGAAAACAGCATCCATATCCATTCTCCGTGGTAAATCAGCATCTTCAAAGAATAGTCTCATGGCATTCCTCTTGATATAAGCAGCTGCCTCAGGCCCTCCATGACCGTCGAAAACCGCATAAAATGCACTTGGAAAGGGACACTGGAAGCGAGGCCCCACATGGGCAGATAGATCATCGATCCGAATGTGTTCGTCATCCATGGAATCCCTTGATCCAATGTCACTGTGGCTTCCTGAATGAATGTTCGGGACAAACTTGATTGCAGAAGACTCCATTACAGCATTATTAATCGTCTCTGTGCAACTCAGAACCTGGTAAAAGAGAAAACAAGTAGGTGAGCAGACACGTTCCATGCATCTCAAAAGAACATAATCCTGGATATAGATTTTGGTATGCACACAAAGAAACAGGACATCCAACAAGCATAAAATGTATGAATGAAGAAATCACCAAAAATGCAGAACTGACTGGTATAGCATCATTAATACAAGATTTCACCCAAAAATTTCGTCTAACAGCGCTACAAGTGTAAAGGCTCATTCTTTTTCTCTAATTCTTTCATTGCAATTGATATTTAATTACGCTGTTGATTGTCTGTCAGAATTTCCCAAAAATTAAGCAGCAAATCAAATTGTTATACAAAGAAAAACTCGATCACCCAATGACTAACCCATTAAACTTCCTGAAACTCCTGACTAACCCATTAAACAGAAATTCCAGCATAGAAAAAACCATATAAGACAATCAGTTTCGAAATCCTCGTATATAAATTCTCACCCGATTTAATCGGGTTCATACAGACTTGAAATTCCACAAACAGCATAAATCTACCAAGTACACAATTCTGATCAATTCCATTAAAAAAATGTACCAAATCAGAGTTCACATGGAATTTACTGCAAAGCTAAACCACCAGAAAATTAGAACTTATTCGGTCAAAAAAAATTCGCCAGAGTTCGTCAGGAAAAGGTATTCCAGGGTAATGAAAAACACCATCAAATCTCCAAAAAATAAAGGAAATGAAAAACCCTCGGAAGCAGTTAATTCAGTAGACCCTTTCTGAACCGACAAAAATTCAAGAACCCATGTCAATTATGTTAATAGAATTCCCAAAACACAACTATCTAGAGCAGAAGAATCAAATCCCAAAAAAAAAACCCAATTAAAAGCAAAACAAGCGACAAATCCCACAGAAAACAAAGGTCAATTAAAAAATACCCTGAAATCAGCAGATAATTCACTAATTCTTCATACGAAGTCAAACGGAGCTAATAGAACATACCGATTCGAAGCGAGAAATCTCAGTGGAAATCGTCTCGGCGACGAGAACCTCGTAGCTCGGAGAGGAAGGCGAGGACGCCGCCGCGTCGATCTGAAGGTTGTGCTCCTTGGCCACGCATACGCGGTACTTCATGTCCAGCACCGTCTTCTGGCAGATAACCTCCGCCTCAGCCACCATTTTCTGGCTCACAATCATCCTTAAACGCCGTCGTACAAAAAAATACCAAATTACAGATTTTTCAGTGAAGAAGAAGAGGGAGAGAAAATTAGGGTTTCTATTTCGGGTTTGGGGTTTCGAATTCTCGATCGCTCTATGATTTTCTCGGATTTTTCTGTTGTGTGTGTAAATATGAGAAGGAACGTGAGAGGGTCGGGGTTATATTTGTATCGGGAATCCAAGTCCGGTTCGGGGTGCATTGTATGAGGAAGCGTGTCCGACACGTGAGTCCTGGAGGGTAAATTGCTGGAGGCAGCCCAAGACAGTTTTTTTTTTTTTACCAATCGATATTATATATATTAAAAAAAATGATGAGTTTAGTTTCACAATAAGCAAGTAATAATGTGGTTCAAATTCGTTTTTAATGAGAATTGAATATAAAAAATGGTGACTTTATCTCACAATGAGGAAATAATAATGTGGTTCAAATTCGCTATTAATGAGAATTGAATATAAGATCTCTCACCTACACGTGAAGAGAAATATCACTAGATCTTCATACAAATTGAAAGCCCGAAAGCAGTTGAATGGTTTTTTAGACGGTTTTACCCTTTCGTTGGGTTTTACTTTGCGGCTGGTTGAAACCGATTCCTTTTAACGGAGTGACAGCTTTCCTAAACAGCGCTTTGCTCTTTTTTTTTTTTTTTTTTTTTTTTTTTTTTTTTTTGGGACTCACTTTCCTTTACTTTGACGCCACTTATTATTCGGTAACAGTAATTTGCTTTTCCGAAATTAAATTTGTGCAAATTGTGGAAATTACTATTTAACCCTAACCATATCAACTGTAATATTTTGGAATTTTGGTTACGGAGGCCTTTTTCTGTGCTAATTTTACAAATTATCCATATGGCGTAGTTCACTTCATATGTCAATGTTAGTCATTTGGTTGAAAAATTCGTAATAATATAGTGATCAAGTCTGTTATCATTGTTAGTCTTAATTGATTTAAGTTATGTCAAATATCGTGCACATGCGAGTCACTTCTACGAGTAATTTAAGCCATCAAAATTCATTTAACACTTAAACTCATTTAACCTTTCAAATCTCATAAATACTCTGGGAAAGAGCTGGGCAATGCCCTTTGAAAATCTTCTTTCTAATTGCTCGACGAATTGCCTCTATAGGCATTGAGTAGGGTAACTGCTAGCCGCATTGCTTTGTATGTATTACTATTGGCATCTGTCGATAGACTCGCTCGACATATGTTGGCATATGTCGGTTTGCTTGCTTAAAAGTTATTGATATCAGTAACTGTCGACAGGCGTGCAATATGATTTGACAAATGACCTCATGCCTACAAAGCTCAATGAAATGCTAATTTTCTTGCTATTCCATCCTAAAATTTTGCGCGCTATTTTTACCAACCCTCCTATTAATATCTTCTAGATTTGTCACTACGTATAACTGATACACAAATTATTTCGAATTTGTGGAAAGTAGGATAGAAAGCTTGGTGTGGACTGCCATTGTTGAAAGGGTTTTTGACCACGAGAGTAACATTTATACATGACTAATATCACACAACTCATATCTACAATTTAGCCACAAAATCTTAGTTTAAATTTATATAGCTATAAGCAATATCATTACATAAATTTATTATCTTCGCTTTTAATTCACTTGAAGCATGATGTACAATTATTAAATTAAGGGGAATCCATTATTTATGAATCATGAAGAAAACGAAGCCGAAATTCCTCCCTCATTTCACACAAGGATCCGATATGCATGTCCCGTTAGAGTACAGTATTTTATGTTAAACATTTTTATTTTATTTGTATTTTCTTTCAATAATTGGTTAAATGTGGATCAAGATTTTCAGGGCAAGGCGATTGAAATACACTTAACTCATAAGTCAGGTCATAGACTCAACAACTCCGATTGAATTAAGTTGCACAAACGGGCTAGTGATGCCATCATCATCCTGCATTCCGGGAAGTAAAGCAAAGTTTGTCGACTTCGCTGAGATTGACCATTAATCTGATTCAATTGACGTGTACCGTAAGTGGTCACACTCCTAAAAGAAAGCAATATCTATATGTAGATATCCTTTAAGATTCTCCCGTTTTAATACAGATTACATATTCTAAAAGTCTCTTCGACTAGTATAAATACACTCCTCTAGGGTTCATTTATAGTAACACAATTATCATATACTCTATTCGTTTGCCCACTGCAAGAGTCTCATGTATCACTTACTAACTTTACAGTTGGCGAGTTTTTGGCCAGTACCCCACTGGTGCCAAAGTTGTCTTATGTGTGTTTGTTCTTTTACAAGTAATTGAATTTGTGCATCTCCTCCACACACAATGGTACTCGAATTTGGTTTCAACAGTAACTAATTTTTTAATTAAAAGAAGTGGAATGGCTACGGAACTTTATTAATGCTCCTACTTTTAAATCATATAACCAAAAGGTTGCGTACGAGAGTTCGTTTTTGTTAGTTGTTTGCCTTGTTGGATTTGAAGTTTGTGGCTTGGGTGAGCAATTAGCACTCGATTCCACTAATTTGTTGTTTAAGACCAATACTAATCAAATTAACTTAACTCACAAGTCCTCTTTCCCCTACTTTACTTACTTTTATGTTTATTTTGTTAATTATTAATTTAATATATTTAACAAAAAGTTAAAAGGAGATTAGCCAGACAGATAATCAACTATCCTGGCCTACCCATCAAGATTCTGACGTTTGACTTCTTTGGTAATGGCATCCATATCCATTACAAGGTAAGGTGGAGTCTTTTTGTGTGGATAAATAATAGTTTAAATATTCAAATTCCACTTTAATTAATACCGAAGCCTTTTGTGATAAAATTTCATAGTTAACGAATTGTGTAGGTGGTAATTACCAAGTCGGTGTTGTTGGAAGTAGACCGTATGACCCGTCTATCTAATAATTCTACACATTCTAATTGCTATGTAGATCACCAAAGCATGAATTTATAAATTAAACTCCGTAAGGAGAGAGCGAATAAAATTTACAAACATTCGTAACCTAGAAGTTTATTATTTAGTGAGCTATATCGATAGCAAGTATGATTTGTGAAAAAAAAAATTGCAGAGAAATACGGTAACAGAGAGTTCATAAACAGTACATTTTTAGAGAGTGCGTCAGCATAAAGCCTACCCATTAAGCAAAGTCTTTAAAATCCAAGACTTGGGATATTTGGGATTGGCCAATCTGTTCTTCTGATCTCCCCAATCCAAACTGACCAATGCTTATCAAACAGCATGCCAAATGTCACATCAGCTTAAAAGTGTACAGAAATGCGAACTCTGTCGGTCCACACATATTCGCATCTAAATAACCATACAAATAAGAGAAGGATATACGTTAAGTTGACTTTCTTAAAAATAAAATTTTGTATGAGCTCTCTAATACTTTATATTTTTTATAAAATATTTTATAATGTGGGTATATAAAATAACGACGTTAAGTCGACTCTCACAAAAGTAGAATTTTGTATGAACAGCTACTTCATATTTTTTACAAAATATTTTATAATATTGGCACATAAAATAGCGTTAAAGAGAAATAATTTATAAAAAATCTCACTTTAAAAGAGTTTTTAATATTTCTTTGCAATTAAATATAAAAAAAATTATTTGGTACCCAGAAAATGAGAAGAAAAAAAAGGGGAGAAAATGCATGTGGCGTGTGGTAGAAGAATGATAGTGTCGGATCGCTAATTTGATTTGGTGCCACACTTCTCGTGGTCCAAAATTGGCGGTTGGGTTGGGTGGGGTTGGGGGTGAGTCTTACAGCCACAGGTCAACCTATCACTCGTTTCCTCAATGCTCCACTGTCATTCATCCACTAGTCCACCACGTCATTTGTAAGAATTTTTTTGGCAATTTGGTGTGCTTCTAACCAAAGTTCTTTTAAAAAAGCATTTATAAGTAAAAGTGCTGTCAACAAAATCGTTAATAAATAGGCTTGAAACATTTTTGCTCATAAGCATAACTAAATTCTTCTTGACAATTTGTTTGCTAGGTCAATCTGATCTTATCTAGAAAAAAACAAAAAAGCCCTTGGATGTTGCCGAAACCACCGAGACCCCTAAAAGATTTGACATTTTACTCACAGCAGACGGCCTCATGCTCTTTCTGCAGCTTCTCCCACAGGCACAGCCGCACAGCACCAGTCTCGGGCATTGACAACGAACGAGAGTATAGTTCGCCTTGCATCAGCATTGCAAAACCCGTTGTCCGTAAAACCTAAAGTTTATGGGTTAAACTTTTTAAGTCAAGGGTTGGAGACGGTCTAATCATAACTTTTTTTTTTTTTGTAAATATATATATTTTTTTTAAAAGGAGGGACAACTTGTGGCAAGTCATGGTTATCCACACCTTTTGGGAACAAGGAAGAATCACGGTTTTCCTAAATATTTTACTTGTTAGAAATAAATCAAGTTGAGATTGAACTCAAATTTAACCAAACGAGACACTACCTCATGATCTAAGAGCATTTATTTCTTCATTTTAACTTGAATTATTACGCAAGTTAAAATTGTCCTCTTCAACTGTGTTTCTTTTTTACATGATGCAATAGCAAATTGCTTGTGTTAAAAGGGTAAGCTACCGTTTGGTCTCCCTAATATTATCCTATTCCACTTATTCAACTAATATTAAGTCTTGAGTTTTATTACAAAAGACCTGAGTGATATTAGGGGTGGAGACTCATATATTAACTGCATATTATTTTGTCATATAAACGATGTGGAATACTATTCTCCAATATGAAGATGTGAATTTTCAAGAAGCCACGTATTTTCGGTTGCGCACACATAACGAAATCATAACACACAACAAAACCCTACTTGTACAATGTCATGAAGCAGTCAAATGAGCTGAACTTCCACCAAGCAATAAGGTAAGTATTAAGTTCATGTAAGAAAAACTAATGAAAATAGATTGAAAATTTTGAATTTTAACGATAAAGACAAAATAAAGGGTAAAATGAATAGTACCAAGATTGACTTTTTAATGTAAACATGTGGTTTTTAATTAAATTGAACGATACCGGAAGCTTTTCGTTAAAGTTCTCCATGTTAAACCCTTCACAGACATCATCAAGCCTCAAGATGTCGACTTCTCACCATCCAAGGAAACAGATCCATCAACAGTTATAGCTAATACAAAAAACAGTACACATTCAAATCTCCCCAAAGGAATTCACAAGTAGCGAACTAGAAGCCCAAGTCAACTCCTAAGCTAAACTGATTCCATGTCTTCAGGAAGAGATACAAGAGCAGCAGAAACCCACCCACTCCCCACCCACACCCCACACCCCACACCAAAAAAAAATTTATATGTTGTAAACATCAAGTACATCGCACGAAAAAGGGAAAAAAAAATCTTGTGAGATAATTCATGAAATAGTTAACGTAAATGGAAAAAAATAAGAGAGACGCATATCTACCGAACACAAGATTATTAACAACATACCAAACCCTATTTTTTTCCCATTAATACGTACAAGTGTCGATTTTTCTTTTCGAATTTTAGAGAACTAAATTAAATTGAGGGATAATTAAGTTGAAAATAAACGGACTAACAAAACATTAAACGAGATTGCAGAGACGGCTACAATCAAATAGCTACATTTTGACTAACTTATTCTGCAGAGGTACAAAGCATTATATATATTATTTATAGAGAACAAACCTAACCCTAATACTAACAGACTAGACCCAAACTAAACTTTTAAGAAAACTCAAACAATATAATATGTAAAATACTAATATTTTCCAACAAATTAGAGATACCCATCAACAATATAACCAAAACAATAGCAGTGAGATTTTTAAAAATATGAACTTTACCACCGTACACATGTCCAGTTTAGTACAGGTACAGGGGGGAGTTTATGCTTTCTTTTGGGCGGGAACAGAATTACCACCGTACACACGTCCAGTTTAGTACTTCACTTCTTGTTCTTTTTTCTCTCTGTTTCTCCCAGTTATTTTTAAAAATATTGGACTGTGTTAAGGAAAAAGATCATAAGGAAAAAGATCATAATGAGCATGAAGCGAATATATGATATACAAAAACCAAATTACAGCTCATATAGTTGTTGAATAGGTGAGGTTCTTTTTCTTGTCCGAAGGCGCTACACGCCGTACGTAAAACACGGTGCACTCACTAGGATTTTACTACCTACGCCTTAATTATACAGCATCATGTAAATATGGCACCTGACCTACAATCGGCTTTCATGCTCTTCGGCGTCATCACCTTCAGTAAATCGGTGCGTATTCATCGACTATTCCAAGACATATACAAGGAATGTTTGAAACCTGTACATAATTATAGCAGAGCTCTGGTGACTAATAGCAAACTTAAAGTAGGCATGTCTTGTCACTGGTCCTTCTTAAAAAACACCTGCTTCAAACAACCTCATCGTTGTCGTAAACCTAAGAAATAAATGTAAACTGGACTTCTCAGACTTTTTGTTTTACCATTATGATAGCTGCAATAATTCTTCATGCAATGATCACAACTAGATTACCTGGGAATGGTATGAAAATCTGCGCATGCGGGATTGTGACCGAACCACAGCAGAAATCCCAAACACCATAGTTCCTTACCAACAATCTTGAGATCAGTTGGAGCGGCTACCAAAAGTTGAGCTATGAGGAATTGATGCCGGCACCAGTCTGGGCGACCCTAGATCTTTTGGTGTAGCTTCAGCACTTGGCGCTATCAACAATTGGCGCGTATGGCATTGTCACACTCTTTTTCAGCATTTTCTGAATAGCATTGCAAAGCAACAAAATTCGTTACAAAATAAAACGTCAACTATCTAGGAAAGGAAGAATATCACGAACTTTTGCAATGTGTTACAAACACCAACGCAAGGGTGTACGATATTATCAATTATTCTTTAGTTTGCATGTACAGTTTTAGCATTCCATGGTCAACCAACCTTGACAAAGTTAAAAGTCAAAGCAAAAACATGACGCTGCACAGCTCAGAGGCATGGCGTTACACTCTAACCTTTTGTTTGTTTGGCCCGTAAGTGTTCATTGCTCGTTCAATTGAAGAGTACACGTCCAGTGCTTGGGGGGTATCAGGGAAGCACTTTATGATACGAACTTGTTCCCTCATCTCTGATTTATCTTGTAAATAAAGAAAGACCCGTGAAGGTGGAGCTTTTGGGTGGTCCTTTTTCCCATGTGTCATCTCCATTATCACCAGGTCATCCCACAGTACATCCCACAATACAGAACAGGGATCCCTAGCCGGGTTGAACTTCTTCTGAGCTACGTTGAAGGGTTGCTGAATGACAAAAGGTACAAATGTCATTGTTTGGTGAATTTTGAGTATGGCTTATAGAAGATAGGAAAGGACAGATAGTAGCACTCCGAATGATTCTAATTCTGCTAACTTACTTGCAACAGTATCACTCTTCGATGAGTGACTACAAGAATTCTTCCTTTGCGAAGTAAAAAGTGATCTTCATAAGCATCTGATAGAGCAAACTTCCCACGTACTTTAAACAGATCAACCTGGAGGAAAAAGGAACCTGATTCTGCCAGCTGCAAAATGGCCTTCATGACCAAGAAAATGAAAGTTGGAGTGAGAACAAACAGTGAAGGTGGTATCAATAAAAACCAAACCAAGATACAATGACAGAACTTTTTTTACTGGGGATCGAAAGCAGTCAAATAACTAGTACCTGTCCCTGTGCTTTGTAGTCGTCATATGGTCGAATCAAATTATCACCACCAATAACACGAGGCAGCCTTCTGCGGAGGAGTTGCTCATCGGAAGTTATTGCTGATGCTATCTTCATTCTCATCGCATTGGCACCCTCAGTAGTTTTTGACAGAAGATCGAGAACCCCGCTCACTGGTTGTGCAGCTGCACCTATTAATCCTTTCCCAACACCTTGAACAAAACCCTCAACGCCAGAATTTTTCGCACCTTCCAGTGGCTTTGTCAATATGCCAGTAACTCCTCTAAAGAGGCCTTTTGCCAGTGCTCCACCTCCCTCTCTGAGAACATCCCCAAAGTCCTCTACGCCCTTGCTTTCCTGAAAAGTGAAAATTTTGAAGTACGATTAAAAATAATACAAATAGTCCAGCTTATATAGCTATAAATTAATACCGAGATTGTCATAATTGCAAGGAGCAAGAGCTGGAAAAGTACAACCCAAGGAGAGTAGGGTACATTGCATTTGCTATTTTCACTACTATATATAAACAAATTTACTTAAAAGATGTTAATTTAAAAAATCAATAACTTCCCACAAAAATATGTAGACCAATAATTGTTTTATGTCCCTCACATGTACCATAAGAACAAAATACTATTGCAACCATAAAAAAATTGCATGTATGATAAAATAATCAGTGCACAGGCCTAACCAAAAAGATTTTTCATTAATTATATCCTATTTTAAGTAATTATGTGAAATCATATTAATTCGAATGACAAACTAAAGCAAACCTGTCTCTGTCGGCTTTGAATGAACTTCTTATCAAATGATAAGGCAGCCATGCCCTTGCTCATATGTCCAAGGGCACTACTTGCATTGCCCAATATGTCAACCCCAGATAGCAATTGAAGAGGTTGGCCTAAAAGATCCTTTTGAACATTTGAAATAGCAATGCTAATCATTGAACTCTGCCTCATGCACACGTTCTCATTAAACTTTTGGTTTATCCTCACCTAAAATAACAAATGTAAGTACTTCGGCCAGACGAAAATCTTCTAGGATGAATTCCAGGAAAAAAAAAAAAAAAAAAAAAAAAAGAAGAAAACACCATGAAATCACAGCACAAGCGGGAGGTAGAATCCCAACACTTACTGGCATATTCTCAGTGTTCCCCAATGCAGTCATCAAAGATGCCCAAAAGCCGAGGACACCTCTTGGCCGCTGACTAGGTGACATAGCCATTGACACTTTGAATCGAACCTCTGAAATGCTAAGCACTCTGCAAGTACAAGTAACATTATTTAAGGGAATTATGACTAAATGTAGTGAAAAGCTATGAAAAGACAATTTTAGAAGTCCTGGCATACCCAATTTCAATAATTGGATCAACAGAAACAGCAGTCGTTTGAGTATCAGACAACCGACTGAGGTTGACCTGCTGAACCATCTCATGAAGGCGCCAAATGATTGGCTCATGAATGTTTATCAAAAAGGCAGAGTTTTCAGGTCCCTGAATAATCAGTTGCATATAATTAAATATAAATTGGAGAAAAAATATCAGAAAACCTTCTATTGGAAAATGATAACTTTCTTATACTTACCTGGAGACCGATATATGGATAGACACAAAGATCTAGTGACCCATTTGATTGCATTGTGATTGAAAGTTTCAAGATATAGTCAGTATCTTCTCCAACTTTCTGTGGTCTAAAAAGAACAGGTGTTGGAGTAAGGGGCAACTGGTTATCCAATTGTATCCCTCGCATTCTAAGTTTGAACCTGAAAACAGGACACAGAAGACTCCAGATTTAATAAACTGCCGTTGTAAGAGAAACATAAACAGTCCAAGATTCAACAATAGCATCCTACGGGTCTTTTTGCTAATTAAGCCAAATTTACACTTCTGAATAGAGATTCTCATATAGATCTGCTAACAGGAATTAACAACAAGTCATCTGCTGAGGCTTGAACCATGAACCTCATAACATGAAAGCCTATCACACCACCTGTTGACTGCTAGTATATTATATATCTTATTTTACCAACTAAGCCTAAATGTTAAACGATAATATTTTCTTTTGAATAGCAATATATTCAAATAGTCTGCGACACACATAAAGTATTTCATAACATATTAATATTTTTAAAAATATATATGCACAATAACATTGTTCTTTTCCTATTTTTCCCGATAGGAAATAAACTATCAATAATAAAATGAAACTGTACAAAACAGAGGACAAGATGTCAATATACCTAATTCTACTAACATCATCTAATAAACACACCAGAAACAAACAAACAAAAATATATAATTACAACAACACTCAAGGTCACAGCAGCTTTTCAACAGTTAAGAAGGCTGCACCCGCACTGACTAATAAATTAAGCAAATTGTTCTCCAAGCCACAAAATTGATAGCAAACTTACCTACTGATTCCAGAACCTAAGCCAGTGGAATATGCACAAAGAAGATTCTGAACAGAAAGGTAAAGGATTTCTTCGGGTGTATGGTCAATAATGGATATTCCAAGCTCAGGAAGCTCAACAATAACATGAAACTCACAATCAGCGACTATTGGTGATTGTTGCTGTATAGAAAGCTGAGGACATAGGTGATGAGTGGCTTGTACTCAAGATTCCAGATGGATCACTTTCTGGCATCCAGTCACTGATCTTGATGACATTCACTTTCTCTTCTTTTATTACAGTAACACAGTAAAGCTTTAGAAGGCCCATTTCCCACATGAATGGGTTGGTGATCAGAAATCTCATCAATATCATACTTCTCTGATTTTAATGGGTCTTCCCCCTCTACCAGGATCTCTAATAAACGTCTTCTGCCAAGATCTTCCCATAAAAAAGAAGCTGCTGTATTGGGAAGAAGAAATTTCCATGAATCGTTGGTACCATCCACTTGCCGAATTCGGATGGGTAGAAACATGGAACGATTTTCAATCCTGTTGATAGAAAACTATCAGCAGTGGACCAAAAACAAAAGAACACATGTATACAAGTAAAGGGGAATAAACCATGTTTATGTTTTTATTTTACTGTACTAAGACAACTCCCATATGAACAGACATTACAAGTTCAACAAAATTTCACTCTAGTCAAAAAGAATTATTTTTCTTATCATATGATATACCTTATGATAACTACATTATCTCTTTCCATTTCACAAGATTTCATAAGACATAGTGAACTGTTACCTGTAAGGACTCATGGAAGAGTTTGGACGGAAAACAACTTCATAGCTTGAGTTCTTTGCTCCACTTCTTACAGCTATTCGAATTTGAAGTAGATCATTTCCGGCATCCTTCTTCAAGCAAACACGCATGATACCTTCATAACAAACACTAAATGGTGCACTCCAATTGTAACCATCCACCCGCACCTGATTTTAAGAATAAATACCATACGGGATTCAGACAATGTATGCTATTCATGCATAATTAGCGAACATGAGAGATTTTAAAACTACACTGACCTTCAACAGTTCAACTTTGGCACTAGACTGCCAACAAAAAGGCTTTGGAGAATCCGTGGGATGAATCCATGCCACGGACTGAGAATCACATTGTTGCAGGCAGAGACTGTAACCAACTCTATTAATAAACAAGGTGTGGGGCTGGAAGTGCACAACCTGAATATTAACCATTGAGCAGTTGTTTATTATTTTTACCATATACCAAAGAAACTTGACAAATGCATAGCTTATCAGTACCATCAAGCACAAAAAATTGGGACTAACAACAACAGCTTTTACTAAGGACTAAGGAGTAAGGAACCATCTGTCCATTCTAAACATGCAGATGGCCTGGTGAAGAGAATCTTTCATCATTTTTCTTTAGGCCAAGGCAGGGTCATCTTATTTTCTGTAAACAGGCTTCAGAGCTAATGTTTTACAGACTAATTTGGTAAGTCCCGCATCACATTCTCTCTAGCAGTTCATCAGTCGTGAAACATTAAAGATTTAAGTCACAAGATATTTAAATCCAACCTTTGTTCTGTCTGAGGTCATGCTCAGTCTCGCTGAAAGCTTGTAATAGGATCCATCTGAACTGAATGCTTTTACATCAAGCCTTTCCTGGAAAAGAAAGTTCAAAGATCATATAATAGAGAACAAATTTCAGCAACTGTGAAGCAATACTCGTGAGAAGGAAAATGAATATCGTAAGCCAATTTGATGCTCTATTAAAATCACCTTCTTTTCCAGCTCATAAAAAGATATCCCAGGACTGTAAATGTCTGAATGACGAATGGCAACAGAAAGCCCCACTCGTGAGGACAAATACACATCTTTTTGAGATGGAAACAGCGAAGCCCCACTACGGCTGGCATAATCTTGTGGAGAAAGCATGTTAGGAACAGGACTAGTGTCCTCAATAACTTCAAGTACTTGGATGTTTCTCCTTGTGGCAGAATGCTTCCTGTCCATAGAGTTTGTTGGACTTCTCAAGGCTGTTTTTGCAGACTTGACTGCCCTAGAAAGCATTAGGGAGTCTGTATCTGCATTGTCCGAAGGTTCTACTTCTACCACTCGATATGCCAAATAAATAGATGAATCATTAGTAATCCAGTATGGAACAAAAAATCTTATTGTTTTGGGTGCAACAGTGGTTCCTCCCATGTCACGTTCAATACTCACACGCAGTCTCCTGCAAATATATAGTAATGGAGATCAGGGATATGATAATTAATAAAATACTTGTTATATTAGTTACAAGAAATGTTTAAATTTTCCAACAAGAAAGAGTTTCAGACACCACAGCTCGTTGGGGGTCACTAGTAGTAGAACATTATAAATGGTACAAAAGTGTAGAACAAAAAATATGAGGAAACATCATACAAAAATTATTTCCAGCATAACAGCTAGTTGGGGGTCACTAGTAGTGGAACACCCACACACAAGTACAGAGAAATATATAAGGACACCAAAACATAACAACATAAAAGGAACATAAACAAAGTTGAGAACACCAAAACATATTCAATTTAGCCTAAAAAGACTTAAGTAGAAAACAAAATTTGGCCCACAGTGTAAAAACCTAACATAGCATAATAGGAGATTCTGAGTTGGAATCCTTGCAATTAAAACCTCCAAATTACATTGCTGGTTGATAGAAATCCACAAGAGAGAAGTGTTGAATATTATATGAATTTGCTATATCCTAACAGGTCGAGCTTTTGGGAACAACAGTACAATAACAACTTTTGACAAAACCAAACAAAAAATATCAAAGAAATCTTTTCTCTAGAAGCACAAACCTTTTACTTTTCTGGTGAACCATCCAGAATGATGACACATGGTCATTGGAATAAAGATTCAAAACAAGAATGGGGTCCTGCCAGAACAACCATAGTTATTAAACTCACAATGGTATGTAGATATAACAAGCATGTTACTTATATTTAGACAGAGCTAGTACCTTCTCCAGGACCCAACCACCCTGGACAAACAACGTAAGATACAAAGGTTTCTGAATGTCTGCTGAATATACATGTACACCCCCACGTGAAGAGATAATACCATGTTGTCGTTCGACGCATTTTCCGTCTCGTGTTCTTTCCCAGATTGTAAATTCAGCCGGACAGGGAAGGCGATTTTCCAACTTCATAGGAGAATGGACAGATATTCTCCAGTCATAAACAGGTGCATTCAGTTCAGTATGAAGTGCCGAGGCATCCGCCCCGACACTAAGCCAAAACTGTTTGTTTACGGTACTAGTACAACACAAAAGTATATCCTTCTTCTCCAGCTGATTCAACTTGAAAGTAACATTTGGCATCTTATTTTCCTGCTTTGAAGTATATTGTCTAGAAAGTGAAACCTGATCTATAACAGTCAGGTCCTTTCCATACGTATAACCAGTACCCACTGCCTCGAGAGAACCCCATGAATATGGAGGCTGAGGATGATCAACAGAAGGACATATTTGTAAGCACTGGTCAGAATCACTAGATGTACTTCTCCAAGGCAAAATAAAAGAACTCCCAGGATTTATGCTATCACTTCTTCCAAGAGAGGAATCACGACCTTGAATTCGAGATGCATGACATACTGAAATTTTCAACTTAACATTGGTCTCATTTACAACTGTTGCAAGACCCCTGAAAATTGCATGCTTCTTGCCATTTTTCATAACAACTTCCAAAGCCATGAAACCATTCTGTAATGATTTTGGGACAACTGACAATGGAAGCAATGACCGAATGTTCTGCCAAACACCATCTGGGCCAAGTCCGACAGAGAAACCTATGTCTCTATCGGTTGCATTTTCGGCCTCCAAATCTCTTTGAAAACTTGGAGTTGTTTTCCTCTCAAAATAAGAAGTTGAAACCAGAAGGCATCCACATTCGTCCATGTCTTCAGTACTGTTATGTTGAGCCTTTAAAGCACAACATCAAAGAAGCATGAAAAAGAAGTCAATTCCTAACTGCATGTGCACAACCAATGACACCAATGACACCAATCAATGCATAAATAAGGTGAAACATGCTCACCCTGCCTCTTAGTGGATGTGATACCATGTTCTGAACATCATGACCTTGATGGAACACCCTAATTGAAGCTATTTTCCTCAACATATTTGCACCTTGCCCAACAGAAAATGAGAGCGCACCCACAACTTCACCTGTATCATTGTATTGAGACCATAATAAATGCATGAGAAATTTGCCTCTAGATGATTATTATTCAGTAAGAAGTTGCAAAGAAAGCAGGATAAATAATTATTAATATGTAATATCATATCCTTCTGCATGAAAAGGCCCGAAAGATCTAACCAAAAAATATAAAGAAAAACAGAAATGATTCAAAAGAATCATGATACATTTGTAAGGTACACCGTACATCTGATTAATAAATGAACTGGAAAAAGAAAGCAGTAGTACAAAGTGAAGCTCGGATTTGGGAAAAACAATTCTGAAAAACACATTCAGAGCAGCAACAGATAGGCTATCAGATGTGACCATAAACATACAAAATGGTATATGTAGTAGCTGTGGGAAAAGATATATATACTGAATATTTCAATCCCCTCTTGAATACAAGGTTTACTAATTCTAGATAAACATGTGAATCAACCACCTAAGTGCACGAATAAAAAAATGTGAATGCAAGTTCCAAACAAGAAAGAATGCATAATTCAGGGAAGATTGCCAATAGAACGTACCCTTTCCTGCTTTTGCTGCAAGGTTTGTCACCTCTACTTCCAGTTTTGCTGGGCCCTGCAACACTTGCACACTCAAGGTTGGAGACTTAAAGAATAAAAGAGTGGGAGGAAAGAGTAAAAAACAGCACAAACTATGTCAGATACCTTCCGAGGAACTTCAAAAATGAAAAGTTCATTCCATTCCGCTGTGCCTTCATTCAAGTTATTGAAATTTGAAACTGCAGGCTTAACACATTTTGTCCTTGCACTTTGAGGAAAAAGTTTTTGATGATCTGTTGGTTGACTATCAACAACAAGGCGCAAAGCACAGAAGAAGTTGTGGCTGTTACCATCATCTTCAATAGGTAAACCCTGCAAACAAAGAATCAACCTTATCTCCTGAACGTAGGAAACAAAATGATAAAACATTGAAGGTAAGAAAAAAATAAATTTAACCAGTTACAACCTTGGCTTCGTGGATCTGTATAGCAACATAATAGCGTGCTTCCTTAGATTCGTCTACAACGTTGAACCTATCAGAAAACCTTGGAGGTGGCACCCATATAGAAACGTAGTCACCATGATGTAACCGGTCCACTCTGTGTGCATTTTCCTCAACTCTTTTCACATAGATCTCACACCCAAGTTTATTCTCTACTACTACAGTCTGAAAGTCATCTTCATCCAATGCAGATAAAGTCTGGTCCTCTCCGTGTCCACATAGACCACCAGATTCCTGCAAAGACACAATTTGGTATTCAAAGTATTGTTACCTCACCCCACCCTCCCACCCACATCCCCATCCCCCCATCACAAAGAATAGAAAATACAGGACGCATAGATACACAACAAATCAACCCGAGGTATTACCTCATTTATCTTCATTGCTTTCTGTTCAAGTTCAAATTGTCTTCTCCAAGAAAGAACACTCCCAATAAAAGTTTCAAGGTTTGCAGCACTGACATTTAAATTAAGGATACTGGTGGCCGCAATTCGCAGTGTCTTCCCATATTTTGATGGCGAGTGCACATGAGTATCATAAGTTTCCAACCTTGAAAAAGTCAACAAAAATAATTCCTGAGTAAAAAAAAAAATTTAATTGAACTCAAAATCAGATAGAAAGAGCAAATATAATACTTGAATATTCCATCGAAAGGCTCCACAAGTGGTTCCCACGCTTCTAATTGAGTATTGAAGGTTGATGCAGCAATTGAGGAAATCAGTACTGCATTCATAGCCTCCAGTCGACCATGTGTTGCAAGCTTGATATTGGTGATTGTCGTGTCGAATAGTGGTGTCATCTGAAAAATCGAAATATAACCAATATCAGTATGAAAATGAAAACCATCTTTACATCAGTTTCCAGACTTAGAAATGTGTTTATAAGACATACCATTCCACATAAGCTGTCTAGAACAGTTAAAGAGAAGCATCTCAGCTTCACCTCTGCAGTTATATTTTCCCTAGTCTTTGGCTTCATGGAATCACCAATAGCATAAGCCAATCTGCTTGACGGTTTTTTCAGATCATCCCGTGCAAGAAAAGTGGAGGCCTGCAGAAACAGAAGAGCGCCCCACAATTATGTAAAAACTTGTTCGGTTATGACACAATAAACACATCACATAAAATAAAAATAAAAACTTCATATGAAAGGCGAAAGTTACTGTACTCTTATAATTTTACCAAACTTCAGGCATGGAAGCTGCATACTTACATGACAGATTTAGACTTACATATAAAAAAATATTCATCTAACAAGCTGGCTTCTTTCTGTTTTTTTTTTTTTTTTTTTTTTGATAGAAAGAAATAACAGGACATTTGATCACAATGCAGGGCAGTGGAATTTTTGAGGCCAGAATCAATATTTAGCTTCCTGAAGAACTTTGTGACCAAGAAGTCTAGGATACTTCTTTTAGTGTCATTCAACATGATTAGGTGCTGGTTTTGAGCTGAATGTAACTTAATTTCTTGTATGGGCTGTGGCCACCAGTTATGTTTAGGTTAGATGTTTAGTTTATGTCTCAAATCCCTTCCCAGGCCCCCACTCCCTCCACACACAAAATTAAATAAACTGAATAAAGAAAGATTGAAACCCAACCTGATTTTCAACTCTCCAAATGCTCCAACATTGAGATCCCTTGGAAGTTGAAGATCTTGAAATTGGCGCCTCAAGAATATTAGCTTGGTTAACAAGATCCATCCTAGGGCAACAAATTGTATCAACACATGGGGCTTCATTCGTCCTGGAGACTATGCATCCAAGAGATGCATAACCAGGTGGAGCAACTGGGTACCAAAAGAATACTTCATCAAAACCCTTCCCTACAACATGGGCAACTTTAGTAAATTGTACAGGTTTCGCAGATACTTCAGGATCATCAGCCTTAAAAATTATGCCCACAGCTGGAGGTTCTAAGCTGAAAGAAAGAAGAACACATGCTGGTTAACAAAACTTACAATAACAACAAAAATTCAACTGACTAAACCTGATAAAGAAAACACAAAGATAAAATTTCTAACCCTTCGGTTATGCAATCACCCAATATGGCATAGCCGCGACGTGGAATGGGCCGCCATACTGAGACTGGTCGGCGGAGGTCACTACCCTTGTCCCACCAGATTCTCTCAAAATTGGGGGTCGACATAAAACAATTAATTGCCTTTGAAATTGATCTGACGATATCCCATCCAGAAGAATTTCCAGTCTGGTTTCTGGTTTGCTGACTTGCATAGTTATTATCAACAGCCAAATGTGAGGCGGATTCTTTAGGAGAAGACTGATGCCGATTCCAATTCCAAAGAAGAAGATGATTGAGGTTACAACAATTGTCTTCAGAAGGGCATTCAGTAGAAGAATGGGCATGAAATGATCCAAGAACATTCTCCATGCGCCAGATGCTAAATCCAGATGCAAATTGAGGATTTGATAGAGAGAAAATAAGCATTCTGAATATGTTGTTGATGTAACAAGATCAGAACGTATGCAATAAACAATATGATTAGGTGGCTGCTCTTTCCCTATATTTGCTATACAACCCAATGTTGTGTATCCGGGTGGTGCTACGGGCATCCAAAGAGAACAATCACTACCAACATCAGAATCACCCCCACCAAATCCTTGAATAGCAGAGAACAAGCCTATGAGATTAAAACCAATTGGTTTACGCACACGCCCATATGCATTACTCACTGCCATTACTGCCTGTGAAGGAGGAACTGGCCTGAAGACATCACAAGAAACCAAAAATAATTAAATATAGCATCTAAACACACTGTCACACAAAACAGAACTACTTGAACGAACAAGGAGAGTATCTTCCCCAAATAGATCAACAATAAAGAAAGTAAATGAAATACAATGAGCTGTACCCAAACCATCCATATATTATTAATTAGGTCATCTACTTTATGTTCCTTTAATTCCAGACAGCTAGATAAAAATAATACAAAAATCATGCTTACATGGGCACGAGCAAATGTAAATTGCTTTCATGCAATAAAACTTATGCCAGCACTCAATTTTTTTGTTATTAAACAAGCTTCATTGAAACTCATCAAGAGTACTAATTTCTCATGATAAAGGAGCATTAGCACATGGCGGGAAGTTTCTACCTAATGGCAACCTACAACTACAGATTTTTCTTCTTCTCAAGATTTAAGTGAATAAGCTCAAAAAGTACATGTGATGGAAACGAAGTCCACCTTTACAACCATGATGCATACAAACAAGATCACCAGATTAACTCATACTCATAGTTATGATGTTCACATTGCCTTCCTTTTTAATTTATTACTACTTGGGAACTCATCTGCATAAATTACAATTATAAAAGACAACAATATGCAGCACAGGGCCAAATTCCTTGATGACTCTTCTTGTAAAATAGGACCTTTTATTTTCATCTCTGTTGCTGTGGAATGTTTGTCAAGAGATTGTAATTTCCATTTCATTAAGAAATTATTGTGTCCTCAAAAAGATATTCCATTTAATTCTACCTTGATGTCACACAGTCGCCCAGTATAACATAATTTGAAGGTGCTCGAGGCCTCCAAAAGGTAAGGTTGTAAGAGGATCCATTTTCTACATAAATACACAAAAATGTCAAGTATTTGATGACTGACATGAAAACCACTCTGATGAAAAGAAATGGTGCAATTAAGATATCAAACTTCACCAGAGAAGTTATGAGAAATACCTTTTGGGGACACCCAAATTCGATCAAAATTGGTACATCCAGCCAACGGCATAGAATTTCCGAATTGCAATGCTGATGTTGCCTGGCTTTGCAAATTAAGTATAAGAGACACAACACTCAGTGAAAGATGGAAGCAAACATCGGTTGATAACAAAGACATATTTGTTTTGTCCTTCACAGAAGTGTAACCCCCTGATATATCCACTGGATCAAGAACAATAAGACCAGAACCAGCCTCAACTGTAAGATCTTTCACCAGGGCTCGAACCCAGGTATCATTTTCTTTGGATGCATACCTGTATTAACAGGTTATATAGATCAATCAGTGTAAATTCTTTGTACGTAATTCTTCCTTAAAATACTTTAAGAAGTATAATAAGTGCTAAAAGTTCACATATGCCAAAGCTTTCAAAGTAACTTCTATTGCGCCCTTAACTTTTCCCTCGAAAAAGTGAAAAGGTGAAAAAGTATGTGAAAATAAATCTCTTACATGAAGCTAAAATCCAACTTTGCACGGAGAAGCTTTTCACCATATGAATCATCCAGAGAAGACTTTGAAGAATCATAGAAGGTAAACTCAGGAGAAACTACCTAAAAGCCAAAATAAGTAATCCACAAATGAACAGAACATCAAAATCAACTAACTGCACAAAAGTTTATCAGCATAATATAAGCAAATAGAAATTAAAAAAAATAAAATAAAATATATATATATATATATATATATGCTAGAGATAATGATCCCATTATAACTAATAAGTACTTAAGTAGTAACTTGTGGAAGCACTGCACAGCATACAGATTACCACAAAATAATCTACCAATGATTTCAATCAGTTTATCAATTTCAATGTAAGCGGTGCCATGAATTACTTTGCAAAACAGTTATGTTGATAATAAATTACTTACCTGTGCTTCAAAACTGAAACTCGGGATCATATTTGGATCACTTTCAGAATCTGAAGAAATGTTGGAGGTGTCTGACGATTTATGCAAGTCTTCTAAACCCTTCTTGTCATCATCAGATGAGTAACTGTCCAGCAACGTGATGTCCACACCATCCTCTGAAGATACTGAGTAGCTGCTATCATTACTCAAATGTGTATACTTCCTCAAAATAGAACCATTCTGATGTATTAACAGGAAAGTGTCAATCAATAGTTGGAACACACGTCAATTACTGAGGGATGAGAAAAACAAACTAAAAATAAAATAAGTAAAACAAAACAACACGTATGGTCACATATAAAAATTTGATGCACTTTTTTTCTATCTTTTCCTGACTACACTCTGAAATGCTCTTTGTACCTCTATATAGTCCTTTTTCTGGTTTCTGAATCCTAAACCTATGTTTTGTGAAGTTTTTCGGAAAACATTTTCTCCACACCAATTGCACACCTTCTAAATAGTACTGAAATCTTATGCATATTTTGATGCCTGCATTAAAAACAACTGAAAAAAAAAAACGTCAACTATTTGTCACAGATGAAAGGATGGATCTGTACCTCAATTTTGACATTCATGAATCGCAACCTCTTTCCATGTCCAATTATAATAATGGGCCGAGGCCTAGTTGAATGGAGTTCTTTTGCGTCCATTTCCGCACTCAAATAGATGGTCTTTCCACATCCATCATATGTATATTCATCAATGTGCAAAAAATCTGCTACTAACTGTCTACTTGGAGACAAGTGCACCACATCTTCTGTCTGTTTGTAAATAGGTCCAGAGAATACTATGCTACAGTTTTTACCAATGGGATCATTCGTAGGATCCATCACTTCCTCTCTACCAGTTATTGTTCGTAATGCAGGCACAAAAAACTCACCCACAGCCAAAAGGAAATCAGCTACAACAAGAACTCGAGGTTGCTGAACCCTAACCACAAATGATTGGGAAGATTTGCGCCATCTATAGTCCATCAAGAACATTGTTGATATTGGTAAATCCACATGAGAAAATCCAGCATCAGAGTCTGTTCTTCTAAAGCTCCCCTTATTCAAGGAAAAGGGCAAACTTCCAGAAGAAACTTGTTTGGAATCATCAGTGGATGATCCAAGCATTAGGCGCATTTCAGGTTTTGTATCGGGCCGAATGTCGACAACAGAAAATTTCGGAATGGTTATGTAGAGATCTATCTCTGACAATGAAGTCATCCGATATGATACCCAAAGACCTTCGATCTGTTAAACAGAAACAAATTACATAAGATTCTGTCTTTATTTTTTCTATGAAACAAGTAGATAAGATGATAACCAAACGATCTGAACAGTCATACAATGTCAAAAAACAACAAACAACTCTGTGTTGAAATCTTAACACCAAGATGAAAGTTGAAATCTCAGAGAGTTAAAACAGGACTTAAGTACACACAATTCAAAACGAACCCTACTTAAATGTATTGATGCAAATACTCACAGCAATTTGTGCGAAAGGAGACTCCGCATGAATGCCATTATACAATTCCAACAGGGCATGATCAATCACAACTGCCACTATGGTAACAGTTTTTGATAGTAGGAGTTGACTGTTCATGTTGACCTTATCAGCCAGCAGTCTCATTGTATCCTTTGAATCAGATTTACCACCACGGAAACTAGGGGGAAGCTTTGGCTCTTCGCATAAGTTCATGTATGCACAGTCCAGAATGACTTTATATTCTTTGTCAGACATGACACTGTGCAATAATCCAACCTGGTAGAAGACAATCAAGGGGTACAAATCAGCAGAAAAATATGACACTGCATGATAACGGAATAAAATCCAATTAACTAAAAGCCTGAAGAGCATCGATTCAAGACCAATTTGAAATTCAGGAAAGCAAAACTCATTCAACTATGGAGCCATATAAAAAGGGGAAAAAATACTTTAACAATAAAAATAAAATAAAGCTGAATAAGCAAACACCCAAACTATTCATGCACACCCAATATAACCAAACCATGTATAGGCCACATGCAGAAGCAAAGGCAAAAAATAGTTAAGGGGTTCAAGATTTGAATACAGAACACACAAGATCACAATCAGAGGAAACAAAACTTTGATTTCTTGTCCACAAATGTTTCACTTTTTGGAGGGTATAAATAAAGTTAACAATTTGTATGCATAAATATATACTAGCATATGCCCCACACTTTGTGTGTGAAATAATTTTTATTTTTATTTTAAAATGGGAAGGAGAAAGGGAGAAAAAAGGAATGTGGATTAGATAGAGAAGTTTTCTTTTTTATATTTTATTTTTCAAAATTAGAGGATTTTAGGATTGCCCTTGGGTGAGGCTTTGAAAAAAAAACTGTAAAATTTAGTTTGTGTGAATTTACTTTACTGCCCATGATTCTCTTTTCGTGGTAGAAGACAAAATTGTCTTTTTACCCTCTTTTGGTTGACAAAGAGGTTTTATTAATGTAGTTTAGATATATTAATTACAGTCCCTTCTATTGCAGAATACCTTGTAGGTCCCGCCCAACGATCATCCTTGCAAAAGGTTAGAGAAATCCAAAACCACTAAGACATCTCATTGCAGCTAAGAAGATAGAATACATTATTTCAAGGGAACATTAAATGACAACCATTTAATTAAGTGGTTGAATGGTTTCGGATTTGAGTGATATTTTGCAATGATGATATTTGAGAGAAAACCTAAAATTAGATGGTTTGGATCATTGAAATACAAGGTGAGGCATCCCTCAATAGAAACATCACTCTATAGAAACATATATGTAGGGAATCATACAAAGTTAAAACATGTGATCACAACAATGGAGCAAATGGAGGATGAATAAGTTTTTTTTTTTCTTTTTTCAAAGGAGGATGAATAAGTTAGATCACCATATATTGAGTACTAAAAAAGTGAAGGATAGGTCCAAAACACTCAGCAATTCCCAAGTATGTTCACCGTTTGAAACAATATTATGACCCCATGCACTTAATATCATCTTGTACTGTATCAACTAACAATCAATACAGGATGAACTCCCCCACAAGATCATCCACCGCATGTATCAACTATCCACCCCACCCCACCCCCACCCACCCCCCCCCCCCCAAAACCCAACCAAAGATTGTAATGCCTACTAAAGATGTGTTATCTGCCACACCACCATAAAGATAAATTCAATAAAATTTTACATCTCACACACAATAGTTACCTTCACTTCAAGAGAAATTGTTGGAACTTTCTTGAAGACATCCCTCAAACTTCTCCTCACATAAGCATCAAGTCCTTTGCCTTCTCGTATCATTGATTTGCCCAAGCGACCGTCAATTCCTACAGACATGTTGATCCCCATAATCTGAAATTTTATGTCAGAGTAAAAATTAGTTCAGTAATTTCAGTCATCATGTCCAAGAAAAATTAAAAAAAAATCACCTACCTCAGCATGAAGGACATCAATATGGACAGCTGAAGGATCTTTCTCAGGGGAACCATACCAACTAAGTTCATTTGTGACTTTTAGCTGTCCCAGATCAAGTTGAATGAAACTGCAATTAGATCAAATATAGAGACAAATGTCAATCTTAAGTACTGCTATAACAAATGTATTTAACTTTGAAAATACAAGATCCAGACATAAAGCAACCAAATCTTGAGCAGCACCACCAGTATGACCAAAAATTAAGCAGTCTTCAGTAACACCAGAACCATGCCCATCCAATTAATGAAAACTATTCATCTGCCAACTATTTGAAACTTGAACCAGATAGCCATTTTGAAAAAATTTATATAAACTCTCTACTGGAAATTCCCATGCAGTTCTCAACTTCTTCATCAAAGAGCAACCCAACTATCTAATTAACCCAAATATGTGCATTATATAGTAAAAACAGAATCCAAATTCACGCACTCTTTGCTTCTTGAATTCCTTGGAACAAGGATTATTGGAGTATCAAGTGACAGGTCCAGCTTCAATGCTGTAGCTCCATCAATCTCATATTTCTGAATCAGCCACTCAAAGCCTCCAACTTTGTCAACAAGTTTGATTGCCTCTTCGGTATGTGGGGTGGCAAGTTCCATAAAGTACACTGTTATCTGCATTAGCATGTCCAAAAAAATACGTGACACTTCAAAGATGGAATATCGTTAATTACAAAATAAAGAACAAATATACATAAAACCCGAAAATATAAACTTCAAGCATTTAGATTACACACATTAACACATCCATGTGAATGTTGTATTCAAATGATTGAGAGCAACGCCAAACATACCTCCTGAACAAACCTATAGAGGAAAATGATGCGGACAGCAGAAAGTCGGCAACACAAACTGTAATCATATCCTTCATAGTCATCATCTTCAGCACTATAAGAGTTAAATTTGAACTGCAAAACAAATAAAAAGATGAAATTTTCATAACAAAATAAATATCACAGTAAAAAAAAAAATCATGTCTGCAATGCAATAGCTGATAATTGATGTTATTTGTACCTTGATAAGGGATTCAACACCTGGATTACGTATATCACAAAGCCAATCCCAACAGTGATCTGCTCCAAGAGACATATCACGAAGTCTAAAATTTCCTAGGGCGCCTTCAATGGAAAGAGAACTTGGGTGGACCTTAACAAACAAACAACTCAAGTCAGTAATATAGTTATTTGATACCTAAAATATCAAGTCTAAAACTACACACAGTAGTAAATTTCAACCAACACATCGAAATAATTGTTAATCACAATATTCCCATCACCTTGAGATCCAGCAGGAAACTTTCTTGCACAAACATCGCAAACGAAGAGCCATCCTCTTTGTTGAGAAACACAGTCACATTGTCAACATTCATGCTTAAATAAAATACTACACGACCTTTACCATAACCCAGCAACCCCTTGACACGCCCATTTTCTTCAGTCTTTTCTTTGTTCATAAAATGTTTATCATCTGGAACCTTAGTCATGCCTGCACTACCTTCTGCGTCATACACAGAGCTTAAATCCAGGCCAAAATCAATCAAAGCAACAATAGTGGGTCTGTTGCAAAAGAACTCCAATTTTGACATGCGGAGATTCATCTGAAGAAAAAAAAAGATCAGTACAAATCATTAGCATTGAAGATTAAGATTTTTCTATTTGTAAGAAACACAGGTTTCATTAATTTAGTTTTGCATTGCAAATAAAACCAATATAACAAAGATCCAGGACTATAACTAAAGTCAACTGCTCATGTCAGTAGTACCTGGGTATCAACACCATTATAATCAGGCGAGCTAGAACTCCGAGTCAAGAAGTTAACAGATACAAAATTTGAATTATCACCGCCCTCCGCCTCATAAAATGTCTCACCAGAAATGACCTTTTCCTTAACCAAATTTTTTTCATGTATGGCCTGTGGAGATGCAAATCCAGTATCATCATTGATGTCCTCAGTGGTTGCACATGCATCCATATCCATTATCTGTGAACCTAAGCCTGTATTGGAGATAGACATAAAATCTGGCAAAGCATCTGTAAAAGTATCATCATCCTCATGAAGCAAAGCAGACATTTCTTTCATGTGTGGATCAACTATGCCAGGAGAAGAAACTATATTGTCATTGTTTAGCACGGAGCAAGCTAAATACTGAGGGGTTGTTGACAGACGAACTTGAAGCTCATCTTTGACTTTTAAAGAGTGCAGTTTCATCTTAAGTGTCAGGTCACCTTCCCAGCGAATCATGTGTAACTGTAAAACAAAATGGCATAGTATTTAATAACAAAACACTTGTGCATGACAATGAGCTAAGAACACTTGAACATGATAACAAGAAGATAGTGGGGATAACAAACAAACTGGAGAGTAATGTAGAAGAATGATGCTTGTTACAGTATGTTCCAAAATACCACAACCCCAAGAAATGTAAAACAGAAATATCAACTATATCAAATCTGATAGACAGAGAACAATGAAATATGTTCCAAACATGGAAACGCCTTCCCCGCCAATAGCCCAATTATTCTGATGCTACTCTCCCTATCAATTCAACTAATATAGGGTAAATACACAAGTCATCAAACACACAAATACAATAACAATAATGAACAGGGTCAACAATCGCATTTGACTTTTTACTTTAAAAATCTCATATAATTCCACATTCGCCCTTAATAAAATCATAAATGAAGTATAAACTAGCAACAAACCTTCCCACCATTGGCAAGAACCTCAAGAATAAGAGTCTCACCATGTTCTTCAACAACTTTATCAGCAGTCTGCACAATAAAGTAGGAAGGGAACACTGTCAGATTTGGTTAATCATTAGCCTTGTAAGTTTTTTTCATTTTGTTCTAAATATCAGTAGTAAGCCCCATAGGTGATAATCATTTTCCAAAATAACCAAAAATGATGGGAAGCAGGACGCTGTAGATACTTTAACACGATGAATCTACTAAAAGAAAAACCAACCTTTCCATATATGAATATCTTTGTCTCCACCAGTGCCCCATTAAGAACTAGGTCAGCTATTTTTGAATTCGTAGTCTGGGGTTCACCATATTCAGGGGGATCACTTGTTTCTTCCAATACATTAACTGATGGGGGAGCCTAAATGCAAAATAAATACAAACTTATAGATACCACCAAGGAGATAAGTAAATAGGAGTTTTAAGTTAAGATAGAGATCTTATATCATACAGAAGCTTTATATGTAGCGTGTATAAGCCCTTTCAACCAAATGGCCTTCTCGTCCTCAGCCCGAAACTCTATAATCAAGGTAGTAGGAGACTCCAAAGCCTGGAAAGAAATACAAATCCATAACATGTATGATATTTGAATAAGGATATGCCCAGCACCAAGCAAGGCTTGAACAAAATAAACATAAACATTACTATAATTCTTCCACAATCCAATAATTCAGATGTCAAGTCAGACGGTAAACTATCACTTCCCACAAATTTGACATACCTTTTGATTGTCCATTCCCCTGTAACTTACAGCGAGACAAAACAGTGAACCACCAATGTTTTCTGGGGGAACCTCATATACCTGTCTACCAGCCATGCTGTACCATCCAAATTTAGAAATTTTCAGTTAGTAGCATAAAACATTTGATTGCAGGAGATAATAGCAAAAGAAATGCACAACCAAAACATTTCATATTGCTCGAAAAAGAAACCAAACTGTAGGGCACAGAGTAAGAAAAGCTATTTGTGAAGAATGCGTTTGGATGGGGTTAGTAGCATACAAATGAGGTGATGGAGCCTTATAGAGTTTGTAAGAGAATTGGGAAGAGGTCTAGGTGGACCTCTTCCAATGTTATGGCACTGATGTGGGTGAAGGGTGCAGATATGGCTTTGGCATAATCGATGGAGCAGTACGCCTTGAAGGATCTCCTCCAGAGCTTTATCTTATCGCCAATTATATGATTTGGTGCTCAGTCAAATGGAGGATTTCAGTGGGCTCCAACCCTTAAAATGTTGACCCACGACTGGGAACTACAGCCAGTTTATACATTTTTGTATTACTTATACTCTGTAAGGATAAGGAGGACAGATGCTGATAAGTTGTAGTAGCTCCCTGGCCACGGGAATATTATTCATGTTAGCCTTATTACAAGGTTTTAAGGGGCGGGATGCCTATTTCCTTCCCCTGGTCCAGCATTTGGAAGGTTGATTGGGTTGTATGTAGATAGTGCTGCGACAATGGATCATCTTGTCCTTCATTTCTCAGTTGCAAAAAAGAAAATCATGATTTTCTGTTATCCACAACAGCAAAGCAGAAATGAAGGAATATGATCCAATTATTGACTAGTCTCATTTTTCCTTTTTTATTACCATCTATCAAGGAAATTTGGCAGTAACTTTCTGGTATTTCTAATGTATACTCCCTCTGTACTAAAATTCACCTAGAGAGAAAGAGAGAAGTAACCTTGAGTGTCGCAGGTAACTCTGTGACTTTTCAGACTCCAGCACATAAAGATTTATTCCCGACAACACAAGATAACATGGTTGCCAGGTAGCCACAGAATTGCCAATCCCCTGAATTGGAAAAATAGACAGAAAAATAACATCAGACGCCGAAATACAAATAAAATTACCAACTTGCTCCTTCGAATGACGACATACCCTCCATGCTAAAATTCTAGCTTCTGCAGAAAGATCTGCTGGACTCCATGGAGTTTCTGCTTGAAAATCATCAAGAGCAGGCTGACTGCAAGTTTCCAATGTAAATATGTTTAAAAGTTTCATGAGCCTCTGGAATCTCGATGGTGAAAAGTGAATCCCAAGGTTTGGCACTTGAATTGAGATGCGCATTGACGGGTAACTTGGGTGGGGCACTTTGATCTTAAATTCAAAGATGCATAGGTATGGTTAGCAACAAATCTACTAATAATGAACCAGAGTAAAACTTGTACACCAAATAATATAAATATTAACAAGCAGGAGAGAAATATGGCAAATTACCCGGTCAACAAGTACAGCCATTCCACACCTATCTATGAGAGAATAGCAATTCTCAACATTGTAGGTGGTAGGAGATAAAGGTGGGTGATTATCATAATCTGGTACATCCAAAGTGCAACTTCGACAGTCAGGACCACAATCCATAAAAAAGGCAGCAATATCTCTTCCAGTTATAAAAAACCGAGAATATAAGTTCTGCCTCTGTTCGTCATGCTGACCATCCTGCAACGATTAACTTATCATTTCAGGTAATGCAAATCAATCAGGCACAATTTGGAAAGGTCATTAGAAAAAAGAGGCATACCTTTGTGTGCAGCGTGAAATGACCAAAATCCAAAAGAAAATGGCTATCACATTGAGAAGAGCCACAAGTTCTGATAGGAACTCTTACTTTTGGGGCATCTAAGTCGATATCAAGAGCAAATCTGAAACAGGATCAGTAAACATAAGAGCAATGTAGAAAAAAACTCAGTTGCTTTACTCTGTACAAAGTATTAAAAGAATACGAAATAGAAAAGCTATGATGTTTAGCATATAAAAGCTGAACAAATAGAGGTATATATTACTAAGTGAAATAAGATTTAAGCATAAAGTATATTAACCTGCTTTGTTCTTCTAATACCATTTGAAACTGCTCCTGTGCTCTACGAGTTACTTGCTCGATTTTCATCTGCTCGTAGAAATGAATGATAAAAGATTAGTCAACGAGTATAATTCATATTAAAGTTAAACACACATCACATTATGTTTTAAAAGGCTCGGCGTGAGGGGTTGCCGCCTCTGTTTTGAGGGAGTGGGTGGAAGGCGTTGCCGGAGCTACCTAGGGGCGCCTCAGGGGCTTTTTTTTTTTAACTCCCAAACCCAAATTTTGGGTAGGTTTTAACTGCCTCATACCTCTTCCTTGCACTATCGTCTCTCTGCCTTTTTTTCTGATTTTTATTTTCTTATATAATGGATGTGTGTGTTGTCTGCATGCATTGTTATATGTGTGCTTATTGTGCTTTTCATCCTCTATTTTATATATATATATATATATAATATAATATATGTATATATATGTGTGTGTGTATATTTATAATATATGTGTGTGCTCAGGGTGATTATTGATTAATAATCTTCTTTTTTTTAATATAATACATGTGTACGCTCAGTGTATATATTAAAAAATTTAGGTCCTGTAAGGCTTTGCCTCACGCCTAGACCGGGCTATCCCTCGGATGCCTCGCCCACGCCTCACGCTTTTAATACACTAACAATGATGATATTATTACCTGCAAAGCAGTTGCAGTTTCCAACGTGACAGTAGGACTAACTGCATTACTCCTTTTCACAAATTCTAAAAATCTATGAAAGCTTTCCATCAAAACCTGCAACAAGAAAAGATTCAGGAAGCTCCATGTAAAAAAGATGTTGAACAAAAGAAAGAGGGGAAGCATACAAAGAAAATCAAGACTGAGCCTTAGGGATCCATGCACGTAACCACTTCAAGATGATAATAATTTGAACTAGGTTCCACTCTCTCTCTTCTTTTCATTTTTTTCTTCTTCTTTTTTTTTTTTTTTTTTTTTTTAAATTTTAGAAGAAACGATAACACTTTATTACAATAATAACATGAATTGCAAAATAGTGGATAAGAAATCAATCATAAACTAGCTAAGACCACTCAAGTAGATGTATTTACAAGTAACATAACCTCAACCAAAATCATTTTACGGCTGCTAACATATCCTACACTATATGAGAAAGAGAACAATCCCTGAACTCATTTGAAACCAATGCCCAGAGGGCTGCCCAGTAGTATTAAGAGAGTAGAAAAAGGAGGTTGGTCAAGAAGACCAACGCAAATACAAAATTCAAACAAAAGCTTGAGGATCTCTCTCTCTCTCTCTCTCTCTCTCTCTCTCTCTCTATATATATATATGTGTGTGTGTGTGTGTGTGTGTGTGTGTGTGTGTGTGTGTGTGTGCGTGCGTGCGTGTGTGCATATATATATTCAAAGATTGGACAATCACCGTGACGTAGCAGGGAGAAATTGTAGCTGACAGCCTCCAGTCAACATTCTCTCCAACTGGAGAGTGTACAAAGCTAGCGGCTAGTGCATTCACCTTCTTCTCACTACAGACACTCTGCCAAAAGAAAAAAGAACAGGAAGAAAAGATGAGTAACTTAAAAGCAAGATGCAGCAGCGCAACATAGCATCATTTTGATTCTGTGTCAGATTAATATCAGAAATTCACATGTAAGAACAGTAGAGAGAGGGGAGGGCGGAGATTAAGTACTGTTAAGAAATAAATAAAACCACTTCAAATTATAGAAATTCACTAAATTCAGAAAACATTGACATCAAAACAGTTACAATTCACATAACATTCTCCCGTCGCCAACTTAAAACCTGTTACTGCTAAATCAAATTCTGACATTTATATGGAAACAAACCTGGGCAAGTGAGCCTTCAGGCGCAGACAAACCATAGAATTTCAAGGACACGTCACAGTAGGTACTTCGATGTTTAAATTTGGTTGAGACTTGAAGTTGCTCAAATCTACAACACACAACCTCCATTTGATTTATATCAATGATCCTAGCAGCTGCTTGACCAACAGACACAGTTACCAAAAACCGGATCATATTCTGCATGTCTTTTCCTGAATGTGCTGTCACTGCTTCATCTGGCTGATAACTCAGTAACTTATTGATTGCCTGCCATTCCTCTTTAGTCAGTCTTTCTTCCGTTAACTGTGATCCCTCAGAAGCATCCACAATGGCAGAATCTTCAGCAGGTGTACGCCTGAGGGAAAAAAAAGTGGCACTACACAAATTGGGAGGTGTACGTAGATAAAACTACATGCAGAGCTTTCACAAAAAATAGAGGTCAAAATAACTTAAGCACAGCACGTGACCCAGAAACAAACAATCACAGAACACAGAAATTGTAATGGAGCATTTCGGAGTCTTGACTAACCACATATATGAAAACCAGCTTTTCTTCTGCAATGACCTCTGTTCAGCTGCTTCCTTGGATTTAACAGATTCTACCTTTGCATGTGCAAGTAACCTACAGGATACATGCACAACATCATAAATTGAATGTACCTTTATAGTATTTATAGGGTTACAAGAACAATAAATACCCCAAATATGTAGACATGCTAAAAATTTATATAAATCCATAGGAAATCCTCTTGTGCCTCTTTGGTACACCCTCCATGGAAAGTAAAGTTGTTTAAATTGCACATTCTATGGTCAAGTAAAGTACTTCAGAATAGGATAAAGGAGAAGCAAGATTCACAAATCTTGGAATACATAAAAAAGCGCAAGACAAAATTGCACTATCCCCATTGAAACCTACACTGACATGTAAAGGTAACATTTGGATTAAAGGCAAAATTCAATACCTTCTCAAGTTTAACTAATTTAAAGCGACAAATATAAGTAATTCCTCACAGATTCCAAGACTAAATTCCAAGTTTAATTGAACATAATAATCTTATTGCTTTGGCATTTATTCCAATAATTTAAGGGAATAAAAGCTAATCACTTCGCAAATTTCATAAACATACCAATTGGGTTTAAATTGCTAATCCATACACTTAACATAAATAATAGAATCCAAATTCAACTGTGGTTCCTTTGAACCCGAAATAACAACTATGAGGCATAATGCCAAGGTTAAAATGGAATATATGCAATTCCCTAAAATCTACAATCAATTTTAATAAATAGCAATGAAGTCAAAAGGAAATAAAAAAACATTTACCTCCACAAAAGAATTACTTTAGAATCCAGATCTTTCTCAATTTCTCTAATTTCTGCATTATTAACGTTTGATGAGTGTTGCAGTGAACCAGCATACAACTGAATGTAACGGCGGCGAAGCTGACAAAGATCTCGAATGCGGTCCCAAGAGAATCGGTAACTGATTCAGGCAAACAAGTGTGAAGTCAGAACCAACATGGGAAATTCATAAAAATACATCACGATTTGCAATATACGTCCAAAAGAATGTTGTGAGAAGTTTCACCAAATATTTGAAAAGTTAAATACAACCCTCAACTCAATTCCAGTATTTTTAGTTTATAAAATTTAAAGGCAAATTGTAAAAATGAGAAGCTGACAAAAAAACCTTGAATTAAGACAATCTACCAGGCCGTAAACAGGCTACAAACAGACCATAAAAGAGTATATAGATACATTTTCTCTATCAAAATATATGTTACCACATTTTCTTCTGCTGCAGGGTTGCTTGAGCAGCATAGCGCCACCACAAATACGGACCCTTTGAAACTGGCACCAAAGGTCTCAGATGGGCAACATCAACATAAGCCTTGTATCTTGAAACAACTTCTAATAGTTTTATCCAATCATAATATTGGGCCTGAAAAAAACCAGTAGAAATGAGTCATAGCACTCCAGCTGCACACCAAGAAAGTACGAAAAAGAACAAATTTTATGGGTTGCGGAAAAGAGAAAACTAACACCTCTAACTTCCTCCGAGAGCTGAGAAAAGCAATTTTACTCGATACTTACATATTAGAAGAAAACATTGAGAGAGGAAGAAGCGAGGGAGAGAGGAATACGGGGGTTACTACAAAGTGAACGAGATCCTCCAACGAAATCTTATTGCATTTTCTTAACTCCCACCATGAATTAAAAATATAAATACAAATATTTGTTTCCCAATGGCAGAACAGGAGAGAGGGTGAATAAAATAATACCGGAAAATAAGACATTTTAAAGGGAAAAACATTGTGCACCTCAGTTATTGTCAAAGAAACATCACTCAGCACAAGGGAAGCCTTCTCAAACGGAACCTCTGGATCATTTCTTTCTTGATTTCCAATGCGGTGATATTTTAAAACTCCATTTATAGGTGACACCAAATACTTGCGATTCACAGCCCACTTAGACACCATTCCACTGTCATCAGCAGGTTCATCTATACCATCTTCAAAGATCTAGTACATATTGATACAAAGAAAAGTTAGAAGAACTTTTAGGCAGTAAATAGATTTGGTTAGGCGAGACAACATTACCAAAAGTAGATGCTTTAATATAGCAGAGTAGAGGGGCTAGTAATACTCCAGCATAAGAACAAACCTGAATCCATTCCTCAGGAGTGAGATCTTCCCATCCCTTATCTATCTTCCAAGGAACACTATCAGAATCATGATACATAGCAAGTCTCTCAAGTTGCAAGGACTGTCACAAGGAGATTGTTCGTATTCAACATAAGATTATCAAATTTACATGTAAAAGCATAAAACATACAAATAAATACGAAAACCACAAAACACAGGACATTGTTACAATTATGAAAACAATTCTACAAAGTAGGGCGTCCTTTTCTAAGCCTTTCAAGGATGTTCGATACAGTGTGATTCGTCTTCATTGATATATTATTTGTGCAAAAGTGCCATTGCGGGTTTTTGGTTTATTCAGTTGGCATGTGTATGTGGACTTGCTTGTTTTGTTAGATGGCTTAGTATTGACAAAGATCAAAGCAGTCCAGAAAATTGAAAAGATAATGCTCCGTGCTCGACAGATGAGCATTCTCATAAAAACCAGGATCCTAAATAATAAAAGACAAGGCTAACCTTCCGCAACTTATCAAGCGCACCACTGGTATCAAATGTTTCATTCCCTTGCTCGTCCATTGTAACAGCAGCGAGCTTGGCTAAAGTAACACCCGAACAAAATGGATGTCCTGGATTGCTAGAAAACAATAGAAGGACACAAAATTTACATCCGGAGAGCAAAAAAATGGAAATAAACTGGGTACAAAACAAATAGAAGATTTCAGACTTCAAAAGAAGTTAAGGAAGTTACCAACCTGATTGAATCCTCATATCTAACATGTACATTGCTAATTGATATCTTCAGATTTCCGATAATAGTAGCAATGAGGGAACCTAGCCATGAATTCCCAGGAGGTGGCTGCAAAATAGTCAGCTGTCAACTGAACTGCTAAATTTTGTATCGAAGAATGGGAATGAAATACACCGTCTATTCACTTAATAAACAAAGGGGGGTGCTAATTCAATCCAGTTTGTATGTAAGAGAGTGTTTGCACAAAATACTACTTTGATTATGCAAAGTGTTACAAGAACTTCCCGCATAAAGCCTTCAGTTTTTTAGTTAGATGCTTATTTGTAACAAATTTAACAAATTCATCATGTCAAACATATGTGAATTTCCTAGCAAGCACCACCTGATTTCCTTCCCCATCACTACTTTCATGGGAGATATCTATTTCATAGATGTCAACATTACCCAAGTCTATAAACATATATCTCAATCAAAAATAGCCAACCAACATCACTTTCACCAATCTTTTGGCTATGAAAAGGGAAAAACAAATCAAAAGTGCATGCCATCAAGATTAATCTTGTTTGTGGATGGATTTGCAAAAAGCCTATTATGAGCTACGTGGCCTCACTAAAAATTCCATGAGCCAAAAAAGGCCATGTTTTGTGTTTCATGTAGGAAAAATGAAAAAAGCCAGATCCAAGTAATATGTGGCAAAAAGCCTATTATAAGTAAGGCATTATAGTAAGGCATATGTACTAGGAGAGCTGCTACAAAAAGGGTTAAGGATGCATAACAAGTTTAACCAAAAATAGATGCCCAATGTAATATTAATAAAATTTAAGTATCATACACTTCCTAGCCTTGACTTCGACATTGCTTCAAGAGTTGCTGCCTCTGTTTCCTGCACGCAATATATGAAAAAAAATCCTAAATATTTGACCAGAGAGTACATCTGAAAATTTTTCCTCTGCAAAAATCAAAATCTATCTATAAATAATATTTAAGAAACAAATTTACATACCCTAACCAATGAACATTAACAGCACAACTAAATTTCAATGTGAATGTATAAGAAAACCCGCTAGGCAGGACATAGGTATGCATTTTTCTTTTTCAATCATTATTTTCTCAATCAGTTGATTTTTTTCTTCGCCTAGTGTGTTCTTTTACCTTTTAGGTTAACTAGTCAATGGTCAGTCACAGGCCTATACTATACAGTCAATTGTCAAAGATCTTCCAATTCTATTCCTCACAATAAACCTTCTCCTTTACTACTTTTACCAGTTTTTTTTATAGGAAACACACATTTTACTTCTGAAAGAACTACTACCGGTGGGACGAAATATATGTCCATCAAAACCATACTAGCAGCCTCAATCAAAAATAGATAGAGCATACATAGACAACACTGAGTTTTACCTCAATCTGTTGAAGTTTGGATTCAAATAGTTTTTCCCTGTCCTCCTACACAACAAAATTAGTAACAATCAATAATTTAATGATGATAGTAATGTAAAACAAGGTAATCTTAATACATAAGAAAATACACCTCCAGCAGTATGCAATTGAAATAAAAGTTTTTCCACTATAAGGATATCACCGTACCTTGAGATTCTGGCCATCAGTAAGTGGATAAGCAAGAATGAAAACACGGTCAATGAGAACAATGACAGGTTCTTTGCCTAAACTTTTCCAGGGAACCTACCAGGAAAGAGGACATTAAGAACATCAAAAGAAAAGTGGACATACTATCAGCAGTAATTAAGAACTAAAACCCAGCCAGGGAGAAGGTTTAAGCCACTTGATACCTTTAATGTAATGGTACCAATAAAACCAGCTTTCACAGTGACTGGAAGTTTCAGTGAATTTAAGGCCTCTGCCTTCAACTTCAAATCTTTGAGAACAACATCACCTGTTAATTTGAGGATATATAAAAGTATCAGCGAGTCACTATAAACCACCGCACTTGAGTACATGTTCCCAATACGGTAAGCATGTTGCTTAAAAGTTTCACAAACATTACGGTAAAATGTAGTAATCTTCAAACTTAGGTAGGAACGACGAGAAAATACAGAGAAATGACCACTTAAGTCATAATACAAACCTTTCCAGACACTGATTCTTAAAGCTTCAACTGAGAGTCCGTGGACATATTCGCCCAAATATCTTCGAAGCAAATGCAGAACCTACCAATAAAACATTATAAGTTATCATTTCATCTAGAGCTACTAGATACGAACAAGCATGCATGTCCGTTAATGTTTAAACGTAATCCTTTTCCATATGATAAACATAACTTTATTAGTTTATTATAAAGAAAGAACAACTACATGCATAAACAAGATTTTCATCTCATCTACCAGAGACTTTGGAATACAAACTATTTGAGACAACAGGAGTTGGAAGCGATTTCCTTATGGGATATGGTCTTATTTGGGACTTCCCATGCCCTATGGTTTCAAATGATTTCACAGATACCCCTTCCTTCTGCTGAATATGAACTGGAAGACTGTTGTTTCTTAGCCAGTCCGTGAATTTCTTGCTTGGCCTAGTTGAGTCTTGTTTATTAATAGTATCTCTGATAGCTGTACTAATTGAACATTGTAGGGGTTATACAGGTTTGCAGGTCATCCAAAATTATAATTTCACTTCGTTATAAATGATGAAAAACCTTCATAACATATCATCTTCAGCCTCAACTAGAATCTGACAAGGATTTTAAGCTCAAAAAAATCCAGTTTTAGATTCTAAGTTTCCGACCCTTATGTTCCTTCGACTTTCAATATTCTTACTCTAGCAACTTATATATTTTCTATACACACACATACACAAAGACATAGATAGAGAGAGTAGTGCTCTTTAACCGAACTATAAAAAGCCGAGTTGCTAGTATGTGACACTCGAATCATGAAATGCTCAACCCATTGTCACAGTTAGCGAGCATTAACCATCAAAATTCTCCACATGCACAGACTAGTGTATGTTAACCAGAAGAACAATCACTTCCTATTACAGTCCTCAGGGTTTAAAAATACTAAAGAAGCTGGTTCTTCACCGTAACGTCGTCAAATTCACATAGCGATCATTTTCAAGTGCAATAATACCAAGCTCTATGAATAATCAGTTAGATATACACTTGATATGCACATTACACCTTCCCTGACACCAGAAAAACAGAAAAAAAAAAATCACAGATACAATTATTCCAATCCAACAAAGCCAGTAACCAAAGGGCTTTCACCAAATTTCAACAATTATACAAGCTAAACCAATCAAACAGATTCAACAGAGCGCTTATACAATCAAATCCATGGTGTAAACGATAAAAATCGGGAAGAAAGGAACGACGAGCCTTACGTGTGCTTCAAACATGGTGGCGAAACGAACCGCCACTTATCGGACACGATCAGCCGGAGATCACGACCTGAAGAATGCGCAAACGGAGTGTGATCGGCGCCCGAGCACTGCCATAGAAGTCGGTCAAATTAGGATTTGCAAGCTCAAACCCTCGGAGCGAGAGAGAGGAGGATAGAGAAAGAGAGAGTGAGGAGAGAGAGAGGGAGAGAAGCGAGCGGTTTGAAAGGACCAAATGGGGAATATCTTATTTGGAAGCCAGAAGCAGCAGGCGTGTGAACGTTTATATATGTGCGTGTACCCAGTGGGAAGTTTGTGCAATGCCGGCGGTGGTACCGTGGTACGGCTATCAGGTGATCCTTTTTTTATTTTCTTTTTATTTATTTATTTATTTTTCTGAATTTACAAAGTGTGTCATACGACAAGCTCAGGTGCGTTTTGATCTTGTCTTTTTGTTACGATAATTAATAACTGTGTCCATTTTTGGAAATATTCTGAAAAATGAAATAAATGATTTTTTTTTTTTGTCAAAAATGAAATAAATGATGTGCGTTACTATTGGCCGCTAAAGTCCCTCTTTTAGAGAAATTTTCTACTGTGCATAAAACACAAATATACACTACGTGTCGTTATATAAGTGTAGAAAAGTTTTAAGTTTTAAGTTGTTAATTTTTTAACATTATTTTACCATTTGTATAGTGCAACGTGATGTACCACTCTGTATTTCGAGCACACTGAAAAATCTATGTCCTCTAGAAGAGTTCAAATTTTCAAGCATAAAATTAGGAGAAAGTTTAATGACTTGTAAAAAAAAACATGTTTTAAGGAAGATATTTTGCAAATTACGCTTAATTCTTCAAATTCCTTCTCTAAATATCAGACCAATTTGTTAATAGGACTTCTTAGAAGGTTCACTAATCTTAAGTTGGTAGTTGTAAACCATTCAGCTATGCGTGTTTCCTATAATTTTTCCTTAACTTTTTAGATCGTTTTGTCCTAATAATGTAAATATTAATGTATTTTAACAAATTCAATGCATAATTACAAATATAATCTGTAACAACTCGTCCCAAATTTTACGAAACGAAATGGCAGTTTTTATAATTTCACTAAGTTGGGTTTTTATTTAAAAATTGTTTTTGAGTTTTATTGTGTGTGCTCGTGGGGCCCATCTATTTTGGTTTTGTCCCCCTGGGGCCCAAGCCTCACTCTCTCCTCCTATCCCTCACTTTTCTCTATTCTCTCATTTGCCTCATACTCCTTGTCTCTCCCTCATCCCTCCCTACAGCTCTCTCTCTCTCTCTCTCTCTCTCTCTCTCTCTCTCTCCCCGAGCTCACCACACCCCACACAAACAACATCGACAACGACGACCACACCGCCACCAGCCACCACCGCAATTATGGAGTCTAGCATGAGATCACAAACCTTGCAATGTGCAAGTTTCCTCTCCGGCGAGTTCTCAGTTTTCCCCAACCTAGGTGAGGCTCCAAACATTCCTAAATCTATTGTTTAGGGGTAGGTTTAGGTAGTTTTTGAACTAATTTGGTAACTTTTGGACATAGTAACCACTTGGGAGGATCTTTGCAGCTTTCCTAGCGAATACTCAACAGGTTGCAGGCCGTTTTCAAGCCACGATCGGCCCTGTGATTGGTATGATTATGTTCCCATCCTGTAACTTATTTTTCATAGTTAGATTGTCATTATTAATGTTAGAAAGAATCGAGGTTGGCCGCAGGAAGCTCCGGTGTCCTTCTCTATCGAAACAAGCCAAAACCAAGCCTTTAAGCGTTGCTGCCAAGCCCAACCCACTTCGGTAACCTAAGCCCAAAACCCTAAACTCTAAAACCCGAACCCCAGTTACAAACTTTTAGCCCATAAACTCAAAAGGACCTCGGGCCATTGGGCCGTATAAACCCAGGCCTTGCGGCCCCAATAATCCAAAACCCAAACCCTTTGGGCCTAGGACCCTTCAGCCTAAACCTAAGGAGAACTGGCCCAACCCTTTGACCCAAATGGAATATTCTGTCAGGGAATATTTTGTCCGTCAGGGAATATTCCTGGAATGTTCTTAGTGTTAACTTTTTCGAAATTTACCCAAGGCCCTTCTTAGGGTAATTTAACGTCCTGGATCTGTTTTTAACGTCCGTTTTTCCAAATTCAATCATTTGAATATAGTTTTATTAATTGGACCCTTTATGTGCTTTAGGGGCAATTATGGTGGCGTTTCTAGCTTCGCTAGTTTGCATGGCTCTTTGGCGGCAAAGTATCTGTGCGTGGACCCTTTCTAAAATGCATGTTTTAATAGTAGAAATGCATACATGAAAAGCATGATTTAATGATTATGTTTTATGAGATATTATGCTTATCAAGAATATTTTGAACTACCATATTTTATCGAACTAATGTTCTTTGTAGTATATGTCACATCCCGGCCCGGGTGGGACCACTTCCCGGGCCCACTCCACCACCGTAGCACGATATTGTCCGCTTTGGTCCCCGACCACGCCCTCACGATTTTGTTTCTGAGAACTCACACGAGAACTTCCCGATGGGTCACCCATCTTGGGAGTGCTCTCGCGCGCTACTCGCTTAACTTCGGAGTTCCCACTCGGACCCGAAGCCAGTGAGCTACCAAATGGCCTCGTGCTAGGTAGAGATGAGAATATACATATAAGGATCACTTCCCTGGGCGATGTGGGATGTCACAATCCACCCCCCTTAAGGGCCCGACATCCTCGTCGGCACATTTCCGGCCAGGGATAGGCTCTGATACCAATGTCACATCCCGGCGCGGATGGGACCACTTCCCGGGCCCACTCCACCACCGTAGCACGATATTGTCCGCTTTGGTCCCCGACCACGCCCTCACGGTTTTGTTTCTAGGAACTCACACGAGAACTTCCCAATGGGTCACCCATCCTGGGAGTGCTCTCGCGTGCTACTCGCTTAACTTCGGAGTTCCCATGGAACCCGAAGCCAGTGAGCTCCCAAAAGGCCTCGTGCTAGGTAGGGATGGGAATATACATATAAGGATCACTTCCCTGGGCGATGTGGGATGTCACAGTATATATGATGAATGACTATATACTATTTAGAACATGCTTTTACACGCTTCTTTATAGTATAAATGATGGATGACTTTATGCTATGAAGATGCTTTTGAGATATATGTACCTATGTTTGGAAAGACTATGTTTAATGGTTTTGTGCGTATCTAGTGGTCACGGTTCTGCCTACGGCTGAGGGAGATATATTGATGGCTTCGAGCCGAGAGATACTGATATTGATATCACTAGTTAGCACACTATATATGAGATATGTTTCATGAAAGGTTTTAGGCATGCTAGGGTTTTTTGAAAACCTACTACATATTATAGGATATTGATGATTTCATAAAACTTTGGGGGTTAGTATGTTGATAACTGTTTCAGTATTATATATATATATATATATATATATCAAATTGGTCCACTCATGTTTGTTTTGCGCTCCTTCAGGACTTAGAATAGAGGCGTACAATCCCAGCGTCAAGGCATTTCCGCATCAGCATCTTCGAGTCCTCTCGGTGTAGGATCCATCCTTTTATTCTTTCAATTTTATATTATTCCTTTTAGTATTCTAATTAGTTGTATGTTCTGAACACGTTCCTTATTTGCATATTATTACATTTAAATTTATAAGTCATATTTATTTCTTGTTTTCATGCATTCTAATATGGCTTCGTCACCTTCGGGTGTCGGCCAACACTTTCCTACCCTGATGTTCGGGAAATATCAGAGTCGGATGTGTCATGATCCATGTTTACATACCTCATAAAATTATTACAATTATATGTCTTTGTCACACACTGATAAACTAATGTATCACAATAGATACCATATTTAATGGAGTTCAAATAATATGCCATTATTTGAAATTGTTGAAAAATTCCTAATGTTGATTTGACTTTAAATTTAAGTTAATCTCTGTATATAAAGAGAAAAGAGTTTGGTGAAACTTTTTTTTATATTTTTTAAACAAACGATATCGGATGTGTCATGATCCATGTTTACATACCTCATAAAATTATTACTATTATATGTCTTTGTCACACATTGATAAACTAATGTATCACAATAGATACCATATTTAATGGAGTTCAAATAATATGCCATTATTTGAAATTGTTGAAAAATTCCTAAAGTTGATTTGACTTTAAATTTAAGTTAATCTCTATATATAAAGAGAAAAGAGTTTGGTGAAATTTTTTTTATATGTTTTAAACAAACGATATTATCTACATTAAAAAACATTTTTAGAGTTATAAAACAAACAATATAATTAACAAGGACAAAATTGTAATTTCCCAACATGCTTAAAATGAGTATCAAAACTCACATACTGTATGGTTAATCTTCTTTTGTTTTTTTAATTTATTAACTGAAAAATATGTAATCAAATTTAAATAGATATAAAAAATTAATTAAAAAAAAACCCCAATTGTCAAGAGACTAGTAGTAATAATTCGCATCAAATCACCATCTTAATGCAATTATTGCGGCATATGCGTGTATAGCCTTGTGTCATAAGTTACGTGGACTGGTCAGGCGATTCAGGACCATGGATTTGGTCCAACCGAACCAATTTTCAACTCTCTTTTGTCTGAAAAAGTAATGTTGTTTCACTACAGTTAAAAAATTAGGAAATAGATTTTGCATATATAGAAAGTCACTAGGTATATACGACGCGTAAATATTGCATAAAACTCGTATAATTATGTAAAACGCAATGTTGTGATCGAACTCTTGAAAAAAATAAATAAATCACAAGAGAAATGTTAAAGAGATTCTCTTAAAATTATGACTCTTTATAAATTATTTGTCACATTGTAGAGATTAATTCTCGTGTTAATATTATAAAACGTAAAAAATATGAGATAACAGAGAATTTATAAAGAATTATACTTTTAAGAAAGTCTCTTTTTAACATTTCTCATGTCACAATTCATAAACTCTGCATATGACTTTGATCCAAAACTCTGCATATGACCGATGATGGTCTGTCGTTGGGCACGTGCACGTGCAATCAGGAGGCCACTCAGGAGCAACTTCACCCCACCAACTGCAAAAGCAATTAGGCAATTATTGCCCCAGAATCCAAAAAACCACCCCCACCACAGACCAATTAGTCGGGCAAATGGCGGCCCAATTGTGTCGGACTAGCCACCCAGTCGAATCGTGATGGATTGTGCGCCCCAGTGATCTGACGTCAAGCTGACGTCAGCCATCTGGAATCTTCCATTTTCTTCGAGAGACGCAGGGGAAGACAAGCGGCAGAGATTGGGATCGGACTTACGATTGGGTTCATCGAGCGGTGTCGCGGCGGTGGTCTGGACCTGGATTTGGGCCCCATTTTAAAAGAAATACGTGGGCCTTCTAGGACGACAAAAGCAATCACCACTGGGGAAATTGTGAACACACATTTTTCCTCCTTCTATACTTTATTAAATTATGTTCATTATTTTTATTTAATTTATTTACATTTGAAGGCCAAAACTATGGAGGTATCAGGTATGTGAGAAAATCAGCATGTAGCCTGCGCTAAGCTTAAAGCAGGGAGAGCTCCTTTTTGGTTTCATCTGTCCACATTGTTCCCTTCCATCCAGGGGAATTGGGACTTGATTGTTTCATGTAGTCGATTCGCTAATTTCCAAAACCAGCTACCTTATGTATGTATATATAAATATATATTACACCTTTTTGTGATATGACGATGACATGAGAAATAAAAAGTACTATAAAATATGAGAACTACCACAACCACTAGAAAAAAGAAAAAAGAAAACGAAAAAAAAAAAAAAAAAACTATTAATGACACCCTTAAAGTCTAGGTCTGAGAATTTGGAAGCCCTAGAGTTCTCAGACCCTCGACCCTTTGTGTGCATTAATATGTATAAAAAAGAATTTGCTAAATACATGAAAAAATATATTTCTACATCAAATATCATTAAAAATTAATATTAAAAGAAGAAAGATATACAAACATTATTTTTTTCTTTTTTGAGATCCAAAGAAATACTTTATGTTTATGTTAGTAGTCTTACTATTTCTAATATAAGGCATGATAACTAACTCGTTTTCAAAAAGAAAATCACAACGCAATAATAAACATTCAACTCAATATTCTGTAAACAACAAATTGACAAAGAAACAAACACAAAACTCAAATCCGACCCATTACCCATTTATAATATATTAATATAAGCAAGCAGAGGCAATCAGGCAAACGATCAGAATAAAGAATCAAACCAAGTTAACCAACCTATTTTGTTGCAAAGATGGAAATTATAATGTTGACTACTGGACAATACTGTTGGAAAGGAAAAGGAACTCAACATGAAAACCTAATTTGAATATATAAAAAAAATACAACAAATTGAGTGTAAAGCTAACATCTACATTAACATCCACATTCCTATTTCTAATATAAGGTATGATAACTAACTCGTTCATGTTACTTCTCCACAGGATGACCTCAATTGGAGCTAGGAGATATTGGATGCTTTTGATTGGTGCTTAAGAGGTGGACTCTAAAAAGATGGAAGAATCATATAAGATGCAGTCTGCCGATATAAACTCCCTGTTGAAATCTGAATTACCTAAGAAGAACCCTAATATTTTTTTTTTCTAGTAGAGAAGAGCGATAGTTTTTGTGAAAATGAAAGGGTAACTGAAATCATAATTTTTGTGAAGACCGAGAGAGAAGAACAATGTTTTTGTGAAAACGAAAAGAGAAAGCGAGCAAGGCTATATTGAGAAAAATGACTGCATTTTGATTTTTTTTAATTTTAATAATATTTGAAAGTAAAACTATAGTTATATTAGGTGAGGGAAAAGGAAAAAAAAAACAGTAAAATTCTTTTACACTTAAACCGACGAGGGGGTTCAATTTTGAGGAAAATACCCACGGTGGGTGCGTCGGCCTTAGGTGGAGATCCATCAAATCTGAAACGTTTTTGCTCAATCACCACCACCTTTAGTACCCTCTTGAGCTCAGGAACAAAGCCCAAACAAGTTTGGGGGCGTCGGAGTTCGTTTGAGGTCGAATCGAACACACCCAAATTCAAAGAGGTTTCCGGTTTGAGGTAGTTTTCAGGTGTTTCCCGGCCAAAGGTATGAAAATTGTTCCCCTCACTAAGATCTATTTACCTGTAAAATTTGGTTATTTTTGGAAATAGTTGATATTTTCCTGCAATACGGGGTGGCCCGTGTGGCGGCGGGTGGCTAGTAAGCCGACGCCGTATTTTTAAGTTAATTTTGATGTTCTGAAACCAAATTTGATAAGCATTTGATGTGTTTCACTTGCTTGAAACTAGATGGTGATTGTTCGTCTCTTGTAGAAAATTCAGAATTTTAAATGAAATCGAATTGGCGAACTACGAATGGCTTGATCCCTGTTCAGGAACGTAGGTAGTCTAACGAGACGTTAGATGCAGCCATAAAATAAGTCAGATTAAATAATTTGAGACAATATCTTTGGTTGGGAAATTGAGCTAAGTAAGGAATATTGAAAAATAAGAGATTACCCTTATGTTTTGGTGAGTAAATTTTTGGGCATAAATAAGTGTGTGGAATCATAAAACTTAAGCAGAGAATGGCAATTGTAGATAGTTAACTAAATAAAATTTTAATTTGGGCCTATCAACAAAATTAATCCCAAAAAATAAATATTTTGGGGCCAAGGTTTTTTATTTTTTAGCCACACATTGGCAAAATAAATATCAAAATATCAAGCCATAATTCTCATTGGCTGAATAAATACTAGAATATCAAGCCACATCTAACATTGACTAAATAAATAATAGCATAAGAACCACAATCATGGGTAAAATTACTTACCATCATTGGCTATACATAGTCGTTACCTTGATTCTTTCTCAAAAATTTTGGCCACAATCACTGACCAAACATAGAAAATTTTTGCCATATTCATTTTTTTGGCAAAACAATTATTATAAATTCCCATTGTAGCCATCATGGCCAAATAAATATAAGAATTTCAAGCCATAATCTCAGTGGCTAAATAAATATTACAATTACAAGTCAAACCAACAGAATTGGCAACCCAAATGTTAGAAATTCTAGCGAAAATCATTGGAACTTCTAATCACAATCACTGTATAAAAATGAGGAATTTAAAACCAACCCTCAATTTTCGTTTATATTAAACGAACTCAAATTCTCATTCTATTATTCATGTCCACCAATAATTCAATAAATGAAGAAATATCCATGGTTTTTCCACCATTCCAATTATAATGAACAATTCATAACTTCGATTTATGATTTCTTTCCCGTTTGACAAATTTCATCTTGATTTTCGTAAATATTAAAATTTCTAGCCATAAATATCATTGGCAAAACAATGATTTCATCACTTTTTCTTTTATCCCAATAAGTGACTAGCAACTGGAAAAGATCGTAATATATCTGGTTGATACACATCACATTGATGACTCATTCTCACAGCCCACACATGGAGCTTTTATCCCAGAAACACTGGGTCTTTGTGCCCATTCAATTATTTCTCCACATTTCACAGGTCATTTCGCCCAAATCAACATTCACGGGACCACTTTGCCCAATTCAACATCCATGAGCCTTTTTCGCCCAATTCAACATTTCTCAATTGCAAAGGTATAATACGACCTTCCCAACTACTTGTCACATTTAAATAATCCTCTTAACGTTCAACATTTTCATAATGCATAACATAATATCAACCCAATTCAAGCTTAATCCGAAACTTTAAATCAAACGCTCATCCGCAAAGCTATAACATGAATATTATATTTAAAATTTTCCTACTCTCATTCAATTCAATTCAATTCAATTCAATTCATGATGATTCACAATATATGCAGTCCACATAAATTCCTTCATGCTCATAGAACTTATAAAATAATGTAATATTAATGCAATTCATAATTTACAATCAACATCCACAAACACCAATAATATCTCACATTGTAAGGTATGATCATTTGCTTTGATACCATTTGTAACGCCCCGACCCGAAAATTTTATTTCGAAAAATAATTTCGGTGATAAGCCAAATTAAACTCTTGTTTATTTAACTACCATTAATTCTTTATTTAAATTTCTTAATCACTGACAAAATCTATAACCAAAATTTACTTACTAAAAACATAAGATTAGATTTTCTGATAATTCACCAAATTTCTTTTCTTAAATCAAATTCCCAACAAAAGATTAATCTCAATTATTTAAGGCTGCATCTAACCTCTGTTAGACTGCCTATGTACCTTTGAGCGGGATCAAGCCTTTCGTAGTTCACCAACTTTTAAATGTCCTGAATTCTTATGAAGAACCTAATGTTTTCTTTTTGGATATCCTTCGTAGTGACGTTAAAGCCATACAACTCAATGCTTGCAAATAGTAATTACAACATCATTACCAAGTAGTTTATGATGTCTCATTCAACTCCATTGTTTGAAATAAACTCAACAATGTTTATTGGCACCACAATCCAAGTTCAAGACTCTAACTCTCAAATGTAAGCACACTCAACTACACAACCCTTTTCGTTTATCAATGAGCATAGATCTTTCCAAATATACAAAAACAAGCACATACTATCAAGTTAGAAAGTTGACAAAATCTTTTACTGGAAAGTATTGAGCATCCTGTACCTAATTGAATGGACCAAGATTCAAAATTTAATAGTAAGAAGAATTTAGGAGAGAAGATAAACGTTGACAATGTGAAGCATTGCATTTCCCAGAGGGATAATTCCATCATATGCATTACTAAATTATTCATTCTTGTCTTCTTCGTCAGAATTACTATGCTAGAAATAAGGCAAGCAATAATTCATGACAGTTGGTCTTGCTCTAAGGATCTTCTTGAGAAAAAATTCTAATTCCAATTCAAAATTGGTACAAGGATTAAGGAATTAAAACACTTATGATGTGGGTATAAAGTATAACCAAGATGCCCAATAAAATTCAAACTGATTAATAAACACAAATGAAAGGGATGTGAATTGGAGAATTGTAGCCTTACCAGTTTAGTATCCAAATCTAACCCGCTCACAACTTCTTGCTCCTACTGTTTTACTATCTTCTCTGAAAACCAAACAGGGGAAGTCAAAGATGGTGAGTTCGAGCGATAGATAATGGCGAGAGAGAGAGATGGCAATGTAGAGTGAGAGAGAAAATAGAGAAGGTTGCAAGGTTCAAACCAATTTGAGTTGAAGTCCCCTTCAATTTTTTTTCTTCTTCCCCTCTTTCTTCTAGAACTCTCCCCGACCCTCCCTCTTCTTTTTTCCTCCTTTCTTCCTTTCCCCCTTTGGCTCCTCCTCTCCTCCCCTTCTTCTAGAACTCTTCACGTGACATATTTCCACCAAAACAAACCTCCAACCAAATCTGGAGCCTTCCAAATTCATGGCAAAATGACTATTTTGCCCCTATTTTCGTTTGTTTCTATTTCATTTGTTATAACTCTGTTTGTCGAACGGTTTTCACCTACACGCTTGTGGAATCGTCCTCTATCCAAATATGTCAAGAAATACGATAAAATATATGAGGATAAAATACGTCCTCATAAAATTATGTTTAGTCAACTAGGGGCATTTTTGTCTTTTCCACTTATCGATAAATTTTCCGACGTAAATTATAATAAATCCTAGAAACAAAATTCTAAAATTTCTCTAATCAAATTTTCATAACCATAAATCTATTTATTCTCGATTTACTCCACATATTTTAAATTTTCAGGGTGTTATATGTAATGTATAATATTATGGTTCTAATGATAAGAACGAAATTCCACGATCGTGAAGTGTTTTGAGGAGAAATTCTTTCTTATCCTTGAGGAGCCAAGTTAATCGTGAAGTGTTTTGAGGAGAAATTCTTTCTTATCCTTGAGGAGCCAAGTTGAACTCTTTGAATGTGTAGTAGTTGGTGGACTGCATTGGTAACTTTCGCACAATTCTGCCACATGTTTCCTTTCATATCCCATTTTTTGCTTAAAGACTATTGGAACAATGATTGGCACGTTAGCTACATCTATCTAGTTTTCCAGTGGTATATTTTTAATATAATAAGCGATGTTTCACTTTAAATTATATTAATTAAGGAAAAAGAGAGAGTATGAATTTGGAATGTAGTAAGTTGAAATTGAAGTTTTTAAACATTGAAAGTATGTTCTCAGGTGTGTAATTTATGAGATGTGGACATGTGGTGGTCATTCTTATTTGGAAGTTTAATATTGTTGAGCCATGTTTAACTATCATATATGATGTCATATGTTATGTTGGCATTATTAATTTAAGAAAAATATTATTAATACAAACAAAATTGATACGCTTAGGCCTTATTTGGTATTGTTTTTTTTTTTTTTACCCAAAATATTTAAGAATAATGTTATTCATGCAAACAAAATTGACACACTTAGACCTTGTTTGGTATATTTTTTTGTTTAAGTAAAAAAATTGCTTCACTTTAAAATTAAATAATAACAATAAAATGTACACGTTTCTTTTAAAAGTTGTTTTCACAACACTTTTACATTAAAATGCTTTTACATTATTTTTCATACTCATAACACTTTTAAAAATATAGTTTATTAGATGTTCAACTGTTTATTTTATAATTGATTATTTGAAAGTACAAAAACAGTTAAACACTGCAATCCCAAACTGAAATTTTATAATCTCAAATAAAACCACATGTCTAAATATCATTAGGGATGCCAATCTAAATATGGTCACTCAATAAATATGACAAGAATTATTAGTTTGAATCATTATAAATATGACAAAAATTGACCCGAATAGTGTTATGCATGGGAATTCATAGTCCAGATTGATAATAACATGCTGCCACATTGTTTGGAAAGGTAAAAATTTCCCATAAGATAGATTCAAGGTTCTTGCAAACGTTTATGGTTCATTTCATTCTTATAATTAGTTTGGATTGAATAATTCATTATTTTCAATGTATGTTGAATGAAAAAAATAATAAAACAATATTTAACTTGAAGATAAAGATGAATTATTACTCATAAAGAAAACTTATCATGCATGTTAGTCCCTCACGAAATGTTATGATTAAAAGGTTAACATTTCTTCATGTTTAACCCATTCTATTATGTCAAAATGAATTTTTTTTTTTTGCCTCTATATTCACACCCCAGTTAGTAAATTTGCATAGTAGATACCAATACATATGTTTAAAATACTATAAGATGTACTTTGTTTTTCAAATCAAGCGTACTACCACATATTACATATAAATACACACAGGTATGTGCATACTTTTCACGTTTAATGCATATATTGTCACTTTTTAATAATACGTATGAAATTAATGTTACATTTGTATCTTTAACCTATTGTTGAGAAAATGAAACTAAATTAAAATTAAAGTTTTATATAATTAATGACCAAACTTTTCATCGTATTTTGTTAAAAAAATTCCAAGTGATACATGTACGTATTTTTCACGCATTATTCCTTGAGCTACGTCAATAATCCGATCCATCTAATCTTAAATACCAAACCAACCCTTAAATATGACAATCATTCATTCCATGGTAAACCCTAAAAATGGGCTTAGATGACCCATAAAATATTAACAAGTTTGGTACCCATCGGTGATTGAGATAATCAGTGGCACCCAACTTCTGTTTTTGCTTTTCTGCAAAGCGGTAGGCAAACAACCCTACTTCTGTTTTATGCTTTGGCTCCACTTAACAGACATTTATCCTAATTAATCACTTCAACCAAACTAAAAGTTCATAAGCAGCTTAGCTGAATCCTTCCGTTCACCTCACCCGTGACACACAGAAACACTATCCCGTGAATTCCCAGCCGCCACGTGCCACGCTCTGGCTCCTTCCCTTCATGTAGAACTTTGTCAGCAAAATCGACTTACATGTTAAAGCCTGCATGTGAAATCTCCTTTGGAACCCTTTTCACACTTCCATCGAATGGTTTGGTTTGTGTTCCACAAGCTTCTAACCATTGAGAGGGTGACACGTAGGATGTTCCATGTGCTCACGTGATGGCCAATCCTACGTGTCGTAGCTGGAAACCACAAATCATCCCCAATCAAACACTTTGAAAAACTGCGGCTCTTACTTTTGTCACAATGCAAGGCGTCGTGCTTTTGATTAGGGTTTCGGTTATTGAGCTCGCCCGTGAAAGATTAAGACAAACACGTGCATTTGTAGTGCACGTACGTAACCATTGCACATTTTTCTCCAGCACAAAATCTTAACCCTATAAAAGCCACTTCCACACTTTGCATTTTGGCAAGTATCATGCACTTCAAGCTTAATTAACACCAGGTTAAGTTACAAATAAGCTCATTGGTGGTAGAAGACCTAGCTCAGCTACATCGAACATTCAACATTTTTGAGTGACCAGGTGAATATCGTTATTTGTCTTACAATAAAGTGATTGTTTGCTCGAACATATTAAGTCAATATTATTGCTTGGAATCATCGATTAGCTGAATTATATCTGCTAGAAGAATGTTACCCATCAACAATAATTGATTAGCATGCTTATTAGCTAGCTAATGATGCTTGTGCATGCATGAGTGATCATGAGGGATGCGAGCTTATGGACCAGAGAGGGGTAGGTAGGGATTTGAATCAACCCGTGAATGGTATGTTGTCGCAGACCTCCTATATGCTTCTTCCTAGCTATAATCCTATGGCCGCAAGCAAAAAAGAGAGCTAGCTAAACAACAGTGAAGAGTCACGAGAGAGTTGTTGCTTTTACACCAAAATTCCACATCCCAATCATCTCATCTGCTGTATGTGCCTATATTTTATTCTTTCATATCGTCCCTACATTTCACAACCTCATAGCTCGGAAACCACTCTCTCTCATCTTTCTAGCTATCATGCAATATATATTGGTGTCACATGAATAATGTAACGTATAGTAGCTATGATGTATTTATGATGGTATGCTGCTATATACGTACATATATGCATACGTAGAAAAGTTCTCATGCAACTTCTTGTATACACTATATTATGTGTATATCGTCTTTATGTAATTAGTCATGTTATGAGAAAGATAGAGATGACAATGAGTACAACGAGAAAAAACTTCCCTCCACTTGTATAATAACATATTATGTACCACCTTGTATTCTAAACAAATTAAAAAATGTTTCGAGTACAACAGGTTGTAAGTAAATTATTCCCACAAACATATATGTTGCCTTTAATTTATATAAGTATATATAGAATTTCCAGATGGCATAAAATCACCTTAAACAAGTAGTTTATATATAAAAAAAACGAAGATAAAACTGGTGCATTCATAGAAGATTATAGTTGTCAATATCTGCTTAAGGTATATATTTATCATATGAGTAATTAATGTATTTGGCCCTAACAAACACAGTTTCAACTTATTGGAGTCTAAAACCCAAGTTTATTAAGTTTTGTAAGGCCCCATTCTCCATTTAACACAACTCGCACCGTATTAATGTCTTTCATGAGATATGTCAATTCACACGTGCATAAATCTTGGAATTAATATGCTTTGTCAAAACGAATATTTTGATGGAAGAGGATTCTCTACCCTCCTATTCCCATCCTCTTCCCTCACACATTGTTTTTTGTCTTATTATTTCTATAAAAAAAATTAATATAAGATGTTGACGTGGCTTAACCTGTGATCGTTCAAATAGGAGGGTATGGAAGGGTAGAGAGATTAGGAGGGTAGAGAATCCTCCTTCTATTTTGATTGGTCTATGTAGCCGCATTCATACTCTATTTTAAAATGACTGAAAATGCTTTTAACAAAAATATTTTTGGGTTTTAAAAACACTTAAAGTATTTTTCCAATACTCACTTGCATTTTTACTAAAGATTGGTTCAAAAAACATTTTCACAATAAGTGCTTTCAGCTATTTTAAAAGCACTTCTAAACGAGCTCATAGACACATAATTTTCAAACACTCATTTTTTTCATATGCACACTTTTTTTTATTTTTTACTATTAAATTAATAAATTAAAAAAAATTAACGGACAAAATATATTTAAGCAGGAGAGCAAAATTGTAGTGAGATGTTAAAAAACACATCTGGTTGCTGCATGCACGCAGCACACTGTTTTAGGACACTCGGGCCTCAGAGCAATTCACAAGCACTTAACTGCTAATTAAATTCTCAATCAATCCCAATGTTTCATGTCGGTAACGAATTTGACACTCATCTTTTTCTTCCGTCAACATTTACAGGCAAAATATATAAAGGGGCTAAAAGACGAGCGTTAAAATCGCTAACACAGTAGTACGCGTCATGTATGTATGTGTACGAAAACAATCAAGTACAAGAAAATTAAAAATGGTGGATGAACTAGAATTCTAGCAGGACCACATGGCAAAGAAGCAAAACAAACCAAATATGTAGTATCACATAGAAAAAGGCAAGAGGTCACCTGCAGAAAGAAGAAATCTACAACAGAACAAAAGAAGTAACAGTCCACAAGATTGAAATATTTGCAACAGAAGACCAAGCTCCAAAAGCCACATAAAAGCTTCCAACGATTTTCCCAGAGACAAATCATACATCTATTATTATTTCATTTTATATAATTTTTTTCATTCAACCTATAGTTGACACGTATAGGGTTTCGTATATGCATGAATTTAGCACTGTTGTGGGAAGTTTGTGAGCTCATAACTTTGAGTATAAATTGGAGCCTATGTTTCTACTGGTCCTCTTGCCAGACCACTTTATAACTTCAGGCCCCTCTCTCTCCTCTCTCTCCTCTCTCTCTCTAAGTGCATTTTGGCAACTCTCTCTCAGAGGAAGACATGGAGCTCTTTCACTGGTTTAGACTCTTATGGATCACTATGACTCTATTGACCTTCCGGTGTGCAAGCAATGTGGAAGGAAGATATCATCACCACAAGGGGAACAAAAACTCATCCCCTCCTACAACCCCTGCAGAAAATCCAGTTGCTCCTTCAACTCCGAGCATTGCTCCTCCTACCCCTTCTCGAGATGTTCCCTCAGACCCTTACCCAACCGACCCCGGAAACAACTTTAGTAATTCTTCAGACTGTGTGTTCAATGTCATGGATTATGGGGCAGTTGGAGATGGCTCTGCTGATGACACTGCTGCATTTAGACAGGCTTGGAAAGAAGCCTGTGCTGTTAAATCAGGTGTTGTTTTCGCTCCTTCAGATTACCGCTTCAAAATCACCTCAACAATTTTTTCAGGTCCATGCCAGCCAGGACTAGTATTCCAAGTAAGAATTTTTATGTTAATTTTTCAGCAATTCCTTGTTCTATTGTTTATCTCTAGTTGCGCCTTGTACCTTAAGTGGTTAGTAACTCTGCACATGGAGAAAAACTTATCTAGATATGTAGAATGTCACTATGACAATATGTCAATTCACTCACGGGCTGCATGTAAACATTTTGAGTGGTGCTATCTGCGCACCCCTTTTTACCTTCCGTACACTCTCTATTAATCCTATCATTTGATCATCTTCAATTCATTTGATTCGGAAGGTCGGAAATTGACAGAAGTGTGTGGGAGATAAAAAGATGTATGTGAATAACACCACTTATCAACTTTACATAATAATGCATTATTGACTTGGATCATCATAAATAGTGACGTTTCAAGTGCTAGTAAGTTATTCTTCTACAATTGAATTTGAAAAGAAAAAAAAAACATTACTAAAAAAAATTTATGTTGCAATGAAATTTAGTTCATTAAATTTGTAAAATTTGTAATTGAGGTTGAAATATGAAACAGGTAGATGGGGTTTTGATGCCGCCGGACGGCCCGGAGACGTGGCCTAAAAAAGACAGCCAAAAACAGTGGCTTGTGTTTTACAAACTTGACCGGATGACTTTCACTGGTACTGGAACCATTGAAGGTAATGGCCAAAAGTGGTGGGCCCTCCCTTGCAAACCTCACAGGGTAATTAGCTTTCATCTACATATCTCCTCCTATTCGTTTATTTTTTATTTTTGAAAAAAAATATTAAATTTCCAATATTTAACAGTTATGTTAATTGCCTCAGGGTCCCAATGGATCAACACTGCGAGGACCATGTGACAGCCCTGCTGTAAGTAAATAAACCCAGGAGGGCCACAACCATACTTAAGAATTGACTGCAGTAAAAACTCCTGTCACAGTAACTTTATTAATTTTCTTACGTTCTTCTTTCTTCTTCAGATGATCAGATTTTTCATGAGCTCTAATTTGGTGGTGAGAGGCTTAAGAATCCAGAACAGTCCCCAATTCCACATGAAATTCGATGGCTGTCAAGGAGTACTGATTCAGAAAATAACCATTTCTTCACCAAAGCTTAGCCCCAACACAGATGGGATCCACATAGAGAACACAAAATCTGTTGCCATACACAACTCAATGATTAGCAACGGTAAGAAATTGTGCTTGATAATTCTGGGTAGCGATCTTCACACTTCATTTTTATTCGTTTGCATTTTGTATTGACATTTTATAATTTTTTCGTACTTGCAATAGTAGATCAGAAGATGAAAAATGAGTATTGAAATTACTATTGACTTGTGTTATGTGTTAATATTTTTACCATGATTAAACAGGTGATGACTGCATTTCGATAGGAACTGGGTGTGCAAATGTTGATATAATGGGTGTCACTTGTGGGCCAAGTCACGGGATTAGGTACGTCCACAAGTATTCTCTCTCAATTAAATCTCTCCCACTTGGCTGCTACCTACCAATTGTCATCCGTTTAAGTCCAATCAAGAAAACAATAGTTTCACTGATTAATGCTAGAGAGACCGCATTATTGACAAATTCGATTTGCCGTAACAGGACAGGGAATAACAAAAAATTCTATAAACAAAGAAAAACTTTATGAGTCATTTCATCAAACATTTTTTTAATGAATCTCAAATACTATCATATTGGGGTTAATTGACTACACCGTATGTCCGTGATAATCTTATCACATTATGTGACAATTGACGTGTCTAAAATTTGTAGCACATTATGTGATCATTCTAACATTACTTGTCACTTGTATATATAATAGTATTGAAAAAATTCAACCGCACCTAATTAAACATTCTAACATTTCCTGCAGCATTGGGAGCCTTGGCGTGCACAACTCGCAGGCATGCGTAACCAATATCACAGTCCGCAACTCCGTCATACGTGAATCCGACAACGGTGTTCGAATCAAGACATGGCAAGGCGGGACGGGCAGCGTCTCCGGCATCCTCTTCGAGAACATCCAGATGGAGAATGTGCTCAACTGCCTGCTAGTAGACCAGTACTACTGCCTATCAAAAGCATGCCGAAACGAAACCTCAGCAGTACTGGTCACTGACTTGACCTACAGAAACATAAAAGGCACGTACGATGTGAGGAGGCCTCCCATTCACTTTGCGTGCAGTGACACCGTGGCATGCAGAAATATTATCCTCTCAGAAGTTGAGCTTTACCCATACGAAGGAGAGCTCATGGATGAGCCCTTTTGTTGGAATGCTTATGGGACCCAGGAGACTGCAACTATTCCCCCTATTGATTGCTTGCGAGAGGGGGAACCTCAGGCTTTGGATGAGGTGTCCAAGTATACTTGTTAGAGGGAGTCTTCTGTCTAATCAGGTGAGAATTTCCCATAACCTCTCCGACCTGAAAAGAGTGGATAACCGTGGCTTGCCACTAATTATTCTCTTTTTTCAAAAGAAAAAAGAAAGATAAGGTGTTATAACTTATTTGTATGTGAGTTGTCGCATGGTCACGTGATCAGCCTCTCAATAGAATTTCTCATATTTTCTAGGGTAGAATGTAATTTGGGTTTGGGCTACTTAGGATTTATTTACATAGAGATACCGTCTACTGTATAGAGCCCAAGAGCTTTTATGGGTCCATCCTTATTTGGGGTTTCCCCCTTATTGTGTGATGTGATGATGAATTATGTACAATTGGGTCTTGTATTTTGGCCCTACGATATAGTAATGAGATTGTGTGCTTACATTACATATAGTGGTATTTTGTCTTGATAATGTATTTTTGTTACATATTGAAGTTTATACCACCATGTTCTCTCTTTTGAGTAATGTGTATGGCTGTACGTTTAATCAACCCATTGTCGATGAAACCATGTTCTACAAGCATCAAACTCACCCTTAGTTTAAGCTCCAGCGACACATAGACGAATAGGCGAGGCACTGAAGAAAAATATTCTCGTATTAGACTTATGTTGTTAGATTAACACCTTAATTTGTTAACCTTACTCAACTCTCAGAACACTTCTCGAAATAAATTGTTAAATTAAAAAGTCTTGATTAAGTTCAGGGGTGGGGGACAGACTGATTCAAACTCATTTGGAATTCTCCTTTCTCATATAAAGGTATATAATTTTTTTTATATACAAATAAAAAGAGCCTCAATGGAAAATGTGAATATTCTTGATTAATTAAGTGACGAATTCCTTGCATATTGAAAAATATATTGAACCATAAAGATTGATTTCTTATGTCCACGAGGTCCAAGACAATATTGTGATGGAAGTGAAAGTGAATAAATTTTTTTTTCTTTCAAAATTATAAATAAATAAAAATATGTTGAAGGAGAAAATGTGTGCGTAATTTTCCAAATAAATAGAGGAGAAGGAAAAAAGTTGAAAAATGCCTGCCTATTCGACATGCCGTATGTGTTGGAGTAACGGGTATTAGCACGAGTCGACGACGCAACGAGTCAAAACATTTCCGCTGTCGAACCGAGTTTTGCCGCTGGGTACCGAATCGTCGACTCACTCACACAGTCGCAGCCTCGCAGGTAAAACCACTCCGACTCCGTCTCGTCCGCTTCCACCGACTCTAATTTTTCTTCTCCCTTTGATACGGGCATGCTTGGAACTTGCCCGCAAGGTGTTCGACGAATTGCTTAATGCTTCTCGTATTCGACTGTGCAGATTTGATTGCGATTCGGATTTTGGTACAGGAAATTTGAGAACATGCCGTCCCTGCAAACCGCATTGCCTCCTGAACTTGCCAACAACGTGATCAGAGTTAGTATCGGAAATGTCTTCACTTGCCTTTAGTATTTGCATCCAAAAATTAATCATTTTTTTTCTTACCATTTTTTCGACAAAACGATTGTTTCTGTTGTTTTTGTAGCTTTACCGCGAGTGTCTTCGGAGAGCTAAATATGTTGGTCATCGGGTATGCAAATTCAGTTTTTTTCTTGATGAAATTTGTGTTTTTTGTTGTTATTTATCAATGAGATTGAACGTAAGTTAAGAGTATCAATTCGACTTATATTTGCCAATTTGTTGTGACCGTCACACTGCTAGGTGATATTATCAGTTTACTAATGTTGTAACCCGTGTATTTATTTATTAATATAATACTTTAGGTCCATGAAATATCAATCATGTCGTCAACCATGTTATAACATTGTGGATTAGTAACAACTCACATGTACCGGTGTCACCATCACGCTAAGATTTTTCTCCTATAAGTGTATGACATCGTGCCTATCATATCGTTATGAACTTATGAATGAGTCTCCAGTCTTTAAGAAGCAATTTCGCAGATCCTTCAAACTTGTATGAAAGTATATCTTGATTGATTTTTGCAAATTTGATCATACAATTTGCATGGAGTAAGTCTCTAGTGCATGAAAATTACATTAACACATTTGGGGATGTTGTTTCGTTAATGATGCAGCAACATAATACAGAACTTGTCGTTGATATGGTGCGGCGGGAATTCAAAAAGCATAAGCATGAGACAGATCCAGAGAAGATTCAAACATTGAAGGATAAGTAAGCATCTAGCATTTGTGTTTGCCTTTTTATATTATAGACTGTCAACATTCATTTATACTTTAATCGGTCTCTTAATATTTCCGGGCCAATTTGAAACCAAATCAGATGATCAGTTCTCCATTTTATTATCGAAATCAATTCTCAAAATATGTTCTCAAAATGAATGCATTTCTTACTCAACTTCGTTGATGGAATCTGATTTGTCTTCCTCTATTTCCAGCGCGGCGAGGGGACTCATAAACCATATACTGTTTGAGTCTGAGAAGATGTCCGGTCGTAAGTTCAGCAGCAAGAGCTAGGTCTTTTGATGTCAAGGTTTTAAATTTTCCTTCTGAGATTCCAGTTTCTTGTGTGGGATAAAGTTTTCACAGTAAAATAAGTGATAACATTGTAAGCTTTAATGCTTTATCGCCTATTTATGAATACTGAATGTTTCGTTTCTTTGGATTTTGTGATGTGGATTTTCTTTCTTCATTATTTTGTTTCCATTCCTCAGTAAACGCTAGATGGTGTAACGAAAAGTCTGAAACATGTCTTCTAGTATTCTCCAGAATATCCTATACTCTTGCGCTGTTTGGCCGTTAGCAGGATCGAATGACCAAGATCTAACTGTCAAAAATCCAGTGGTGGAACTTTCGCTTTTACCATTGTGGTTCTCACGAAGAATTTACACTGCTGTTATTCTGCTACAAGCTAATAGAATAGGAACTTCTGCATCTACCTAATCCAAAGGGAATTCATTAAAACCAGCAGCTAAACCTGCAGAGCGTACAATCAAGAGGGAAACTTACATGCAATCGGGATCGGGATGCCAAAGTGACGGTATCTGAAGCATATCATGCGTGCTAATGCGTTTAACTTAATATTACGTAATTGAATTGGTTCGGATATTGCCACTTTGGGGTTGGTGTTACGTGTGATTTCTCCTCATCAGTCAGGCAAAAGGAATGAGTAGCGTCCAAGGGACCTACGCTCCTCGTGAAGTCATGTAGAAAATGTTTCCCGCTGAGGTCCCAAGTCGATTGCTGTGAAAGCTACAAAACACAACTTGATTTCCATGCAATTAAAGACCAGGGACACATCCACCTTACTTTGCCTCTCCAAATGCCTAAATGGTAATATGAATTGCGCTCTCCGTATGCACAGAGCGCGAATATCGGTTCCAGACACCGGTGTCATCAGTTTCCATGGAACGATGAAGATGTCGCATTTTATCTTCTGTCGACACTTGACAAAGCTTATTGAACAAAATAATTTGTATTTTGAAAGAAAAAATGGATGTCGATGCACGTAAAGTTTCTTCATTTGGCTTAAAAAGGATTAAGTGTAATAATTCTTCATATTTAATTTAATACTGTTATTAATGGAGTTTGTTACAACTTACAATCTTCTCCCATCAGACTCAGAACACTTTACAACAACAATAAGCCCACAATTAGAAATTGAGTTGAGTAAAAGCAGGGGAAAATGCGGGTTTACTCTTCTTTTAGTAATTTGACTATACTTTGCAGGCAAATACTTGTCTATTTATATCTGAGTTCCAAGCTTCAACCACTCTTCCCTAAGTTAGATGATTTCGGTTCTCCACTCCTTGGACTAAATGGTCCTTTTCCGCCACTCCGAGGACTTTGGTCGCCTCTCAGCTCACTTAGACGAGGACTGATTACCTTGTCCGAGAAGCTCAGTGTGCTTTTCAATTCCTTGGATGATGTTGTAGGTGAGCTTGTCACTTTAGGACTGCACACATGCCTGATCTCGCCCCGGCTTCTAGTAACCATCCCATCTAAAATCTCGCCATCATCTGGAAATGAAGCTGTCCTACTCATCTCCCGCTCCTGATGTGAAACAGGATTTATAAGTTAAACTGAGCAGCCAAAGTTACCTTTTAATGTGTGTATATCAAAGTAGTGCACAAAATTATAGTACGGTTCTTTTCTTTTTCTAAAAGAGAGCACGATGCCTTGAGATTTATCATACAGAGCAAGCAGGTTAGGAATTGTTTAAAAACATTGCCGAAAGGCTTCTATTTAATATCCATTTATGTATTTCCGGTGAGGTAACACTTGAACAGATTGCAGATATGTTTATCAGGAAACAGTGAGACGAAACAAAAGAGTATCTGAATGGAAACTTACAGTTGTGTGGTTGCATGGTAAAGCAGGTGCCTCTTCATACTCTGCAGCATCTAAATCTTGAAGGTGTGCACCTTTGAAGAACTTGGGCAAAATGTATTGTCTAACAGGAACCAGAAGCATGATCATTAATGGGAAAAGAACCCCAGCAATAGGAATCCATGTAATTCCGAAGCAAACAAGCAAGTAAGCAGTTTGGAAAATGGTGAACGCTGCAATTGTCTTGAATGGTACTGTTTCAACAAAAGTGGCATGGTATTCCTCAAGTACTCTGAACACAAAAATGAATGTAGTTCAATTAAATTTTTTGGGGAATCGAGATAAGACAAATTGAAGGTGCAACAATACAAAGGGATCAAGAGAATTACTTGTATCTTCGAGTCGGGGCTGTGAACAGCAATAGAATCCTCTCCCAACATTGGTTACCCGGTAAGTTCTCAACAGCCATAAAGGCAAAATAACCCCAGAGTACCGATGTTGGGATCATTTTAAGAAAAGGCATGGCTGCAACACATCCTCCTACAAATGTAGCTTGAAGCAAGTTGCTGAGCCGCTGCTCTTTCACCTCAACAGGCAATAAATCATCGATCTCCTTCTCAACATCAAACACAGTCTCATCAACTGGGGCATCTATGTGACCCATGCTTGAAGCCATTTGAACAGTTGAATCTTTCAAGTCATTTAATCCCTGCCTTGTTTTTGAACAACAGTTAGCATTGTCTATGTCATACGAGTGAACAAAAGAAGGAAAAGGGGAACGGCATATCAAGTCATCATACCCGAGCTGAAGGTTCCTGGTATGCTAGTGGGGTTTGCATCTGTTGATATGATTCTTGCATGCTTCCATATACTTGTTCCAAGCTGGCATTGTTTCTCATACATCTCCTTGCTGTCGCTACAAGTCGATTGCGAAGCAACTGCAGGAGAAGCAATCTAGTTGAAAAGATAACATGTAAACCACATGAAGAGAGTGCACATGTAGGGTGAGTGTCAATATGTGCATCTCCATGTTCCGAACATATTCTAATGTTTTCTCTGCCCCATTGGGTTCTTAAGGGACACTGAGTTGGTATAAAACTCAAAACCTCTTTGCAGCACAGAGAACTGTGAAGTTGAACCGCTCAATTAACGTAACTTCTAGGAAAGCTTTGAAATTGAAAGCAGTGGAAGGCTTCATTGATGGTAAAACCATATACCTACCTGGTGCTTCAGTGTGGCCAAACTTTTTGTATGCATTGGAGATTGTGGTATGACACCATTGGATGGAGGAATGCCTAAGAGACCACATATTATGACCTGTCATGTAGCAAAGACATCTCAATCTCAAAACAAAATGATGCCAGTTGCACTCTTTCTTTTTGCAACCACTAAACTTCTAGAAGGGGGATTACAGAAAAAGTGAATGGCACTGTGAGGGGGATTTGCATACCATGAACCCCAAGAGAAGTAGATCGTAATGGAAAGAAGGTGGTTTTCTCAAATTGAATTCTTTCTGCTGAGCAAGTTGGGAAGCCACACTGTGGTCAAAATAGTACAACACTGCAATCATTGTTGCCGGAATGAAAGCTCCAATTATATAAAGCACTGGCACATTTAGCATGTCCTGTAATTTTATAAAAAAAAACCATTAATACCCTCACGTGTCAAGTGGAAAACCATAAAGAAGGCAGAAAATAAAATTTAGGATGTGGCAGTGCCTCGATGACAGTCCAATTTTCGTATGCCCCAGGTGACCATGGATTTGGACTGAAGAGGCGCCTTGGAATTCCTTTTGGGACATTTCCAGCAGGTATATAGGAAACAGCAGACCAGATCAATACCATCAATGGCACACCATAATCTGCTATGAAACCTCGCAGCCATCCTGTGAGAGGGAAACAGCTAATGGGATCAGTCTCCTGTAGCAAACTAATAAATAGGAAACTATACATGTCTGTATGTCACTTGCCAGATCCATAACGCCAAGACCTTGCTTTTCTGCTTCTTAACGAAGTAAGTAGAAGGCCAAATGATAGAACCAAAGCAAACATCCCATTTGCAAATCTCCATGAAGGTTGAAATTGAACTGAATTTGGGTTTTCTCTTTCAGGTATGTGGAACTCATGAACAAGTCCCTAGTAAATACAATTCAGAACTATAGCTATTAGCTAGAAAAAAGTTGGGATTAATCCACCAGTGCCATCTACGAACCTTAGAAACTACCGAAAGTACTCTAGGTGACATAAGAAGTAATTTTTCTATAGGCAAATAGAATGCAGGGATAGAAAGAGATGAATGTTCCTACTTTTATAGCTTCCTGCATGAACAGCATTGCAATGAGAAGGCCAAATAACTCTCCTGCAAGACGAGTGAATCTGTTTATGATGGAGCAAGCCCCTAGTATAGCCAGCAGAAACAGCAAAGCTGCAGTCCAGACGCACACCCTGCATATCGGTATAAATGGTCATAAAGGCAGGATCCAGAGTCAAACAAGAGTTGGACAATAAAATAACCCAAAAGGGATAATTGCAAGATAGAGATTAATGATAACAGCAGAAATCACAATATCAATCCATTTGTTAGCACGAAGAAAATACCATCCACTCCATGCTAAAAAGAGCTTTGATCCCAGCTCCGGTCTATTTTTGGCAAAATTGAACATAAACGTGTACATAATCACAGTTGGCTCTGCAACTCCGAGAATCAGCAAAGGCTGTCCTCCAAGAATCGAGTGTATAATTCCACACAAAGCCGTAGATGCTAATGTTTGAACTGCTGTGAGAACACCACCTGTGAACACCAGAAATGATGCCAAAACATAAATTTCAAACACTAATGCATAATGCGTAGAATGATAAAAAATTTAGATGTTTCTTATCAACTGGTCGATATTAGGAACATTTTCCACTCAGACTGAAAACCATAAGGCACTTAATGGAAAGTATCAACAACAAACAATACGGTAGGTATCCAGTATATAATATTACCTGTGTCTCTTTCCAATTGTTCTCCAAATGAAATAACCGGAATAGCGGATGCAAAAAAGATATAAGTGGTGGGCGCCAAAATCCTGAGACAGTTAACCAAGTTACCAAGCCAGAATAACATTCTAATCAAACTTTGGCAATACTTACAGTTAAATATGATGTGGAATCAGTGTTTATGATAGCAAGAGAAGGATAACCTGAAGCCTGCCTTGAAACCACCAGTCCAATCTTGCTTGTAACACATCATTCTCCCTCGAAGATCATTCTTAATTCCGCGAAACGGTACAAATGTCTCTTCCATGGTCTCACTTTCTTGAACAATGATAACTAAATCTCAAAGTTG